TGTATTGGTCATTCATTGTATTGTATTGGTCATTCTGAGAGGCAGGCAGAGGGCAGGGCTGCCCTAGGTGGGAGAAAGGGGGAGTGGGGTGCCCCTTTCTAAAAATAATAATAAATGGTGCATGTTTCTCATTTTGTAAAATCTGGATTAAGGTGTTTTTGCCGGACACGCGTGTGCCGTGTCCCACTGGTGTAATGACTGTAGCATTCACCTTTCTTCTGATGGGAAATGCTTGGGGGTAGGGAGCAATAAACAAGAGATTGAGGAGGGTAAGTTGGGGAGAGTGAGAAATGTCCCTATTTTCATCTGAGGAATGTTGGAAGATATGGCAATATTTTATTGCAACTGAACCTGCAAATTCCTGCGATGTAGGCACAATATTTGGGTCTGCCTTAGGCCGTATTTCATCCAAGCAGATCAAAGGGTATGAAAAATCACCCTGTATTCACAAACCCAGTTTCAGTTGAAACATTTGGAAACCAAATTAGAAGACATTCAGAATGTGGCTTCAAGGCTTGATTCTCTTCCATCTGTTTATATGGGAGGGCCTATATACTGGATGCCTCCTCTCAAGAGTTTGAGATCGTGGGTTGCATTCTCTCTTGTTGTCTGAAAGCCACCATAACTCAAACTGTAGAATGAGCACTAGTCTTAATCCATGTTGTCAAAGACAATTCAAGTACAGTATCCATACCCATCAACTGTTCCAATCTAAGCAGGGCATTCAATTTTTTGAAGCTGTACTTTCAGCATGCTACCCAACAATGTGTGAGGTTCTGACCTCATGCGAGACCATGGAGCCTGAAAACACACATTTTGGGGCAAAACGTGCAAGATTGCGATCTCATGCAAAACCAGAGAGCCCAGAAATGTGCTTTTTTGAGCATTGTAATTTTGTGTGAGGTTGCGATCTTGTGAGTTTTGCCCCAAAACACATGTTTTCTGGCTCAGTGATCCCACACAGATCATCTGACTTGTTGGGCTGGGAAGACACACGTTCCTGTTTCTGGCATCAAGGTACTTTGTTGGAAAGTATGCAGTATCTATTTTTGGTTTTACAAAGGGCACCATATATTTGATGCATGACTTCTCAAGTGGACCATAATTTTTCTTAAATATTTCCCATTTTCAAATTTGGCACAAAAGTTCCTGAGGTCAGGGCAGCCTAATATTGCTGTAATATGCTTAGAATTATTTCACAACCAGATGGGCTGGAGGGAGATAGGAGTTATTTTGTTTACTTTAGTGGCTTTGTCAATGCTACTTTTAAATTCATTTGCCAGTCATATCCAGCTACTACGTAATTAATAATATTATTCTTTACCCAATTTTGTATCAATTTCTATCCATTCAATTTTATATTTTTCCATTTTGTAAATTATATGATTCTATTTTGTATCATTTCCATTAATCTTGGGATATTAATAAGACAAGTAATTCATTTCAGTTACATTCAGTAGTCTGTTTCGGGTGTGTGGCTGTAGGAAAGCTTTACTCCCCATTCTACTAGAGAACTACAGAACCCTTACTCCTGTCCTAAATATTTAGCTTCTGTATCACCTCGCCCACCATTCTTTCTCCTTTTGGCCAATTATTTTTATTGACATTCCATAATTTTTAACAAATTGTCACAAAATTAATACAAATTCAATATAAATTTAAAAGTTGTCTTTCTACCCACCCCATATGTCCCCTCTATTTTCCTTCCTCATTTGCTTCTCTCAACAATATAACTTTTCCAACTACCATTTCATTCATCCCTTCTCCCTACACATCACCTGTTCAGTTACCAATTTCTGCTATAGCTTTTATACATTGTTATAACATGTCCTCAAAATAGTCAAGTAGAGTAAATCCTCTTCTATCTATCTATAATAGCCATTCATCAATTTTCAAACATTTCCTTCTGATACATCTTGAGTAACACTTTGCCTGGGGGAAAAAACAGACCTTGCTTCCTCACTGACGACATAAACACATCCCTCCTTAACCTGGCCTTGAACATTGCTATTGGACATCTGGCCCCAGTAGTTAACAACTCAGCCTCACGAGTGCAGTATGCAGAGAGTGAAAACGAAACCTCTAGAAACTTTTTGGTTTATATAATAGACATTCTCCCCCTCTAACGCTGCCAGTCTCCCAGCGTCACCAACCCTTCACATTTTGCCATATTTTATCCTCAATTTGACACACAACAAGTTCATTAATAAAGAAACACCATATCTCTTCTTTTCTGTCCGAAAGTCTCAGAAGTCGTCAACACACTGTGGTCCATTCTGTCCCGTTCACTGTTCTTATTTCCATCTTCAAGCTTCAAAGAGAGAGGCTGGTGTACTGTAATCTCAACAAAATCCCTATCTCCTCTCCATGCTCCCCCTCCCCAACTAATTAATTTTCCTGCAGTCCATCCTGCCAATCCTCAGTTCCGTTAGTCCTTAGTTATAAAATAAATGCAACGCAAGGAGTATCTTTAAAGTCCACTCTTCCCAAAAACTTTGCATTCCATTGCTTTAGGGGAGGGTAGATAACGCAGATCCCCCCCCAAAAACCCATTACTTACAACATTGACTTCCTTTCCCCTCCTTACACCATTCAAGCAAAGCAGAAATTAGCATCTTTCATTCTTTTCAAGCCTTTCCAAACCGATGATTTTTTCCTCCAGCATAAATCAGGACCTTTTTAGCAGGTTGCCTCTTCACTTGCCAATTATGTCCAAATTCAAAGGTATTCCAGAGTTTACCATGGTATCTTGCTGCGGCTGTCCTTGGACGCAGCAATTAAACCCAGCGCCCTTACCTTTTCATCTGGGAGATTTCCATCCCCTCTCGCACACACAAAAAAGCATTAACGGACGACCGTGGATTGTGCCCTTTTGATACCCTCAAAATGTTAGGGGAGACATGCCTCTTACCCAGTGCTTTTTTTCTAATAATAATAATAATAATAATAATAATAATAATGTTTAGCGATACTCTCATTTTCCTACACATATTGAAATACTGCCCCTCAACGAGGCCAAACTTTGATTCTCAAAATGTTTAGGGGTATGCGTCCCCCTGCACCCCCCCGAAAAAACCCACTGGCCTTAAAGGTAAAGGGACCCCTGACCATTAGGTCCAGTCGTGGCCGACTCTGGAGTTGCGGCGCTCATCTCGCTTTACTGGCAGAGGGAGCTGGCGTACAGCTTCCGGGTCATGTGGCCAGCATGACTAAGCCGCTTCTGGCGAACCAGAGCAGCACACGGAAACGCAGTTTACCTTCCCGCTGGAGCGGTACCTATTTATCTACTTGCACTTTGACATGCTTTCGAACTGCTAGGTTGGCAGGAGCAGGGACCAAGCAACGGGAGCTCACCCCATCACGGGGATTCGAACCACCGACCTTCTGATCAGCAAGTCCTAGGCTCTGTGGTTTAACCCACAGCGCCACCCGTGTCCCTGTCACTGGCCTTACCCCCCAATAATTTCCATCTGGGACCCCTCTGAGGTGTTGGAGTGCCCGAGAAGGTGACTTGCCAATTTCGCTGCAAAACAGGATGTGCCCCACCATTGTTTCTCAACCAGTTTATCTAGTGGACAAAATATTTTCTATGAAATGTAAGCAAAGGTTGGCATTGGGATAATTTTAGATTTTTATAAGGCCTTTTGAACTCACAAGATAAATGACAGTCAACAAGAATAGTACCTCTGGAATTAAAGATGCAATCTAGTGCACACTTTCTTGGGAGTGTATCCCATTGAACTGAGTGAGATTTTTATATATAAATAATGTTATATTGAAATTTAAAAACAAAAAATTTATTCAAAAATAACAATAGAAAATCTTATATCAAATCACATCAAATTCTTCTTATATCTGTAATCACTCCATTGTGCATATACCGCCTATTTCTTTGAGTGCACTTTCCATTTTCCTTTATTGATATTTTGTCCAGTGCATTCTCTGCCAGCCAGGAAAGGGTAGATTCAGGACCAGGGCAGGACCAATGCATTTTGCTGCCTGAGGCAAATCAGAAAATGGTGCTGCCTGGCCCCACCATATCTCACTCTTGCAGAAAACAAGCATTTGCGTAGCTAGGAGCTGGAAAGGCCCTTTCAGAGCTCTTTGCAGCAGCCTGCATCCTGGGTGGTTTTGACAGACAGAGATGCTGAGCACCATCCACAATTGTGGCTACTTAAAGGCTCCCTTCCAACTTCCCAGGGTGTCTGAACAGAATTGTGTGTCTCCCCCCCCCATAATAATAAATAAATAAAAGTGGCTGGACTTCACAGCTCTGCTAAAAAATATTCCACCCCAGTGTAAACCTGTCTCCTGTGCCCACTGTACCCCCATACATACAGTATATCTATACTTCTATCTATATCTGTATCATCTATCTACTTATGCATGTGCATAAACTAATTTTAAGTGTACTTTCCTTACAGGATGGGGGTTGATCTAAGAGAATAAAAGTGCCCAGAGAGAGTAGGACCCACATCATTTGTTCAGAAATCCATATGTGACCAAAGGCTTTTAAAGTTTGGCAACCCCTGTTTTACAGACACAAGTACACGTTGTGGGGGAAATTTGCAGAACGTTCTAAAATGACTGAGGAGCCCTCCCCGTGACTGAGCCTGTCTCCATCCAAGGTTCAATAATACCAAAGAGAAAACAATTAATAATAATAATAATAATAATAATAATAATAATAATAATAATGTGTTATTTATACATATGCCTCCCATCTGACAGGGTTACCACAGCCACTCTGGGCGGCTTCCAACAAATTAAAACACAGCGAGACATCAAACATTAAAAGCTTCCATATACTGCTTTCCTATACAGGGCTGCCTTCAGATGTCTTCTAAAAGTCAGTTGTTTATTTCCTTGACATCTGATGGGAGGGCGTTCCACAGGGCGGGCACCACTACCAAGAAAAAATGGATCCACTGAATACCAATTATTGCTAGAAGAACAACATGCTATAGAGCAGAACATAAGACACTTTGGACAGGAAGAGGTGGATTGGTAGGTTCATTTATTAAATATGGAAGATGCTGCCTGAACAGATTTCTCATTTTAAGGGCTGTGCTGATTAAATATTTGCTGCATCTTGATAGCTATGTATTCATTGATTGTAGCTTGCGATAAAGTCCTCATGGAGAAAGCTAGAGGTAAGAGAGCACCCATAAAAGGCTGCACCAAACAATGGAGGACGATTCTGCAGTTGCACCTGTTTCCCATATTTATTAAAAGTTCCTAGGTGTATCTATCCTGCTGGTGCCCAATCCCATAGGGCCTTCCAGCTCTTTGACCATTCAGGTAATTCACTGGTTGATGGCCATACTTCTGGAGCTCAGGCCGAGGTACCACTGATGCCCCGGGTCTCTGAAAGGGAAAGTTAAAATATGAAAATCGGTTGATGCATTGGAAGGACTCCCTGCCCCCTCTCCTAGAGCCTCCTTCCCACTAACTGCCATGTGGGATTCCAGGAGCGTGAGGGAAGCAGGCAAGGATAACACCAGGCCCTTGCTACAGTTCTAGCAAGACTGTTTTCTGTCCCCTACTTCCCACAGGGCCACCTACCACCAACTGTAATTTGCAGCAGGTGGAGAGAAACACCATGTGACTGCTCTAGACAGACTCCTCCTCCTGCTACAGGGCCACAATTGCTTCTGGGCATGTTCATGAGTTCCATTATTTTTTCCCTTTCCCCACCTGCTTCTACTCCTGTGGATACACTTTCTTAAAGAGCCATGGAGAAGCAAATAGTTGCAGTGGGGTGGGTGAGCATAAGACAAAAGAAAGGGAGTGGGTAGGTGGGGAAGTAGGTTAAGCCCTGGGGCTGCATCCACACCATACATTTAAGGCACAAACACCCTCAGGAATTCTGGGAACTGTAGGAATTCTGGGTAATAAATGACAGCTCTCAGGTTTCTTTGTGGGGTGAGGATGGGGATGCACTTTAAATGTATGGTTGTGCACACAGCCTAAGAATCAGGAAGAGGAAATGAGTGATATAACAGACAGGCTCTCATAGTTACTTCTAAGGGCTCTTTCCAAATCCAGGTCCAAGCAGTGGGATGTTTTTTCTTTTATGTTTTGTTTTCTGGTCTTTTGTTTTGTCCCACTGCTTCCCCATGGAAAAAAAACCCCTCTTTACTGCTGAATCGGAACAAAAAGCAATCCACAGAAACCTCAATTGCTGTTTGTTCTGATTTAGCACTGAATAGCAGGCTTTTCTGGGGTAAGTGGTGGGACAGAAAAACCCCACAGCTCGGACATAGACCTGGAAACTGTGGGTCTGTGCACAAAAGCATGGCAAAGAAGGAAGTCTGAATAAGCCCTAAGGCTTGCTGAACACCTATGTAGCAAACCTGATACACAAAGGCTTCACATGTGTTCCATTTCCTAGTGCGAATATTATCAGTGGGATCTAGGGAATTGTGAAGAGTTCTGTTTACAGATGGGGATTGTTCCTTTTTCCTACTGCAGCCCTGAAAAGTAACCCCTGAGGACTGGGAATGATGTGGCATCTGGTGTAGGGCATCCTTGCCCAACCAGGTGCTTTTCAGATGCTTTGGGCTGCAGCTGCCATCTTCTCAAACCATTGGCCATGCTGACTGGGGCTGGTGGTAGTTGCAGTCTAAAACATCTGGCGGCACCATGTCAGGGAAGGCTAGTGTAGCAGGTTCCCACTGGAAACTGAAGAAAGAGGTCCTTCCACTCATGCAGAGAGCTCTTTGAATCCTCCCCCAGTAAAAACAAAACAAAAACCCCCACTCCTTGTATAACTGTGATTATTAGTACATACAGGAAATCGTTGCATGGGCATAGCAGAAAATGGGTTTATGTCTTCATAATCCACATCAGGCACCTCACTCTCCCAAGAGTGAAGCTGGCCAGCTTGGAAAGACTGACCCACAAAAACATCATCTTGGCTTGGAACAGCTCTTCTCAATGGCTGGTGAGGCATCTGACTATAATAATCAAATTAAACACTTTTTTAAAAAATGCAAATATAAATTTCTTATAGGCAGATAAATGCAACAAAGAGTTCTGTTTCAAGATAAATATGGCACAGTAAACCATTAAGGTGCTGCAAGTCTCTGAACTCAGCTATACAACTGCAAATAAAACATTTTAAATGTGTTGTAAAGTGCAATATACAAATATGGCACTATATGGAGACAGTGAGCTATGCCAAATTCAATGTATTTTTCAAAACTTTTTTTAAAAAGCATTTTCACAGCATTTTTTTAAATATGTGTGTAGATTTCACCTCTTACGTTTGCTGCAACAGAATAAGATGGCTACTGTATACAGATCTAGGCAAAATAACAACATGATAACCACTTATTGTATGCATTGAATCAAAATGAATGGCCTCCGTTTTGGGACCTCCGTTTTGGCAGCAGTTTAGCCCAAAGCATCCCACCTGGCTGCAGCAAAAAGAAAGATGGGAAGCAGGGCCCAGTCCGTTGGCTCAGCTGAGAGACCAGCTCCATCTAGCTTTTCCTCTCCTAAGAGGAAGTGGGGTGTAGTGGTTAAGAGCGGTAGACTTGTAAGCTGTGAACCGGGTTCATGTCTCCGCTCCTCCACATGCAGCTGCTGCTGAGTGACCTTGGGTTAATCACACTTCTTTGAAGTCTCTCAGCCCCACCCACCTCACAGAGTGTTTGATGTGGGGGAGGAAGGGAAAGGAGAATGTTAGCCGCTTTGAGACTCCTTCGGGTAGTGATAAAGCAGGATATCAAATCCAAACTCTTCTTCTTCTCCCTTAAGTAGATCCTTCATTACAAACTGGTCATTATAGAAAACTGGTAACGAACTTCTGTCTCAGTTTGCTTGTTTCCTTCCTCATCCCTTTTCCTAGTTGCGTCATATGAGCTCCTGCAGATCACAGGCACCACCACAGCTTCTGACCTGCATTCATTCATACAAAGGTCTGAACACAGAATGAACATGCAGCCGAGGACTCTGTCTTTTGTGGGTTTTCTGTACATAGAGATGAGGTAGGCAAGCAGCTCCTATAGCAGGAGTGGGACACCTTTTAATCTCGAGGCCCACAATGCCTTCTGGGCAAACTTCCGTGGGCCTTATGGTGGTGGAGGCAAAAATTGATGCATATAAATTTTGCCTTTGTGCAGTAAGCTAGTTTCTATATATACACACACACCTATATCCTCTGTCCAGGCAAAAACACTTAAGGAAGGTACAAAACAAGGCCAGTGAGAGGTGTGGCCTGGGAGGAGGTTATATGGCCTGAACAGCTGGGAAGGTTGCAGGCAACTGGATAAATGTTTATTGGTAAGAAAAACAAACAGAAAACACAAGACTATGTGACAACTATAAGGCATGTTCTAAACTCCAGGTCCCTACAAATTCTAAAATGCCTTGAAAATGATGCAGAACAATGGAATCTTCTTCCTCAGGAGAAGAAAGCTTTCAAGTAAATGGAGGGCAAATTTCAGAACAGTTCGAGATAATTTTACATTTGAAAATATATAATGGTTTCCATCATTGCTGAGCAGTGTGCACAATTTATCTTCTAGCAGGAAAAATATATCATCATTGTGAAAACGTTTGACCAAAGGACATCATACCTGTAGTCTCCAGCATATGGTGACTGTATTTGTTCATGAGGGTAACTTTGGAGAGGGTACCTGGGGAATTTAATATCATCCTATACCAAGAAAGAGAAAAAAGAAAGAAGGGGGAATTAAGCAACAAATTGACTTCTGTTTTGTTATTTTAAAATGCTTATTATGAAAAACAGATGATAAAGACAACGACAACAACAACAATCTTTATTATGGTCCAGAGACCCAACAAATTGTTACAAAGCAATACACAATTATGTAATCCCCAAAATAATGAAGACAAATAATGAGATATATATCTACTGTTACTCACCAGCCTTCATCAACCGTATGCCATCAAGATATGGGACCCATGCTGACTGAGGCAGATGGGAGTTACAGTATAGCCTAAAAAATATCTGAAGGGCACCAGGTTGATACAGGAAGCGAAAATCAGAGTGAAATAAAGACCAGTTGCAAAGATATCATGATAGAGTTAAAAACAAACCTGGTTGTTGTACCTTGTCCTTCCTATATTTCTTATTGCAAAAACTCAGAAAATACTGCCATCATTCTACACATAAATGATTAAAGTTTCTGTTCCTTAACTGTATATCGGGGGTGGAGAACCTGCAGCTCCTAACTCCTTTTGGCCCCAGCCAGGTGACTAACGGTCAAAGATAATATTAGTTGTAGCACAGCATCTGATGGGCTACAGGCTCTCCATCCTTGCTGTATAGGAATGAATGAAAGAATCAGTGGCTTTCTCTCCCACAGAAGAAATATAAGTGGTAAGAGCTGTTTGACTGTGGGACCAGTTACCAGTGTCCCTTACTGGAGGTCTTCAAGCAGGGGCTGTACAACCATTGGTCAGTGATGCTCTAGCTTTCCTGCATTGAGCACAAGGTGTTGTTGTTGTGGTTGTGGTTCTAAAAAAACTGTATGATACCAAACCATAAAAGGGCCACCTATTTGCAGAAATGAACTTATTTCCTTTGTCAGGCACACTTCCAGCTTAGCTTCCAAACTATCCCTATAGCATATTTGGCTGGCAGATTTTCTAATAAGATTTTTTTTTTTTGCTGCACTTTATTCTTTTGTCCTTTACAATACCTACCAGGTGTGACATTTCTTCTAGCCTTTTAGACCTCCTTAGAAGGCAAACGAGACATTTTCCAGATAAGATGTCTGCTGCCTGATGTAAACAAGTTAATTAGCTGAGGGATAGCTTTATCCCGTTGGAGGCACCTTTCAGATCAGTCCTAAATGTTAAGGGAAGTTTTGAATGAAATCTATGCTTTAAATGCTATTTATTTGTATTATTGGGGTTTATCTGTTTTATGCGATGAATCCTCCCCCCTGTGCTTTACATATATATGTTTTATGCTTATGTTGTAATGGCCATTGACGACAAAGAGTAACAAAACTTGAACTGGACTCTTGGCACTGCAGCAGCAGATTCCTCCTCTAACCCCACCAGGAGTCTTCTAGGCCTGGTTGGGATAAAGGAGGACAATCATGTTGCAGCTTCTAAGCAAACGAAGTCCATTTGATGTCAGCTAATGCATATGCCCTAATCTCATTTTACATATCAGACATACATTGTAAATGTCAATTGCAGAGTGGATAGGGGAAGAATGCTTTTCAGAAAAGGCTGCCAGCTATTTCCCTCATTTACAAAAATAATGCAAAACCCAGGGGCATTTCAAAAATAAACAATGCCATCCACTGGATTAAACAAAGCACCCTTTTTACCACAATTAAATTCCAAGTCCATCATAAGCAAGCAAGCAAGCAAGCAAGCAAGCAAGCAAGCAAACAATCACAATATTTTACCTGTCTTCCTTGTGAATAAGAGGCAGATCTCAGCCTATTGGCCAGTTTAGGAGCATATTCTGAATTATGCTGTGGTTCAGGTCTCAGCTGCCTTGCCTGAGTACTGAAAATATATAGAGTGAAAAGAATGTGACCCTGCGATTCCTTCCTTCCTTCTTCCTTCGTTCCTTCCACATACATATAGAAATTTAGTACACTGCTGGCGAGGAGGGGTGAGATCAGGAACAGCCTGTCCCGTTTCACCACCTGAGGCAAAACGGGAATGTGCTGTGCCCTGCCCCCACTTCTACCACTGCCAGAATACCCACTCCTTTCTCAGTGGGGTGTTCGTCTAAGCATTGTCACTTGTCTTCTATGTACAGGGGGCAGCTGTGCACAGGTGAGAGAGGAGGGCATTCTGGCACCAGTGGAAACAGTGGGGCAGGTAAGGTACCACCACTTGCACTTCCTCCTTTTTTAAAAAACAAAGTAATAAGAATAAATAAAAATGTGCACCCCACACCTGAGACCATTCCATTGTAACTATCCAACCTCCCAAAATTTCAACACCTATTGTGATTGCCATAGGGCTTTAAAGGTCAGCACCAACACTTTGAATTGTGCTCGGAAATGTACTGGGAGCCAATGTAGGTCTCTCAAGACTGGTGTTATGTGGGCTCGGTGGCCGCTCCCAGTCACCAGTCTAGCTGCCACATTCTGGATTAGTTGTAGTTTCCGGGTCACCTTCAAAGGTAGCCCCACATAGAGCGCATTGCAGTAGTCCAAGCAAGAGAAATTCGTATTTCAGTTTGAGAAGTGTGAAGTCCATTGTTCTCCATTAAAATACAAATGGCACCTAATTTCTCCTTGATTTCTACTCGGGATCAAACTAGGTAAGTATGCATAGACTTGCAGCCTACAAGGATGTTCATTTGGGAAATAAAATATTTCCACTTTATGCAATACATACTGACTCACCGGTTTCGCTTGGCTTCTTTCTCTGGCTTGTCCTTGCAATACCGGACCCACTGTGTTGTGACAGCAGCTGCAAAAGACAAAGCCACTGCGGGGAAAACCACAACTAAAATCAAGTCCAAAGTGCTCCAAAGCTCCTCGCATTTGACACCCATGTACCAGTAATTTTTCCAGCCATTTTGGTAGGAAGGGCACCTGTGGATGGAATCAAGCAAAGCAACATCAAAATAGTTTGCACCAACCCCCTAATAGTATGATTACAACCCATCGCAATGCTTTTGTGCTGGGGTGCTATCCAGTGACGTGTGGTCAAATTGGGCAGGGCTGCAATTTTTAACCTTGCTGTTTTCCTCACAATGGAACTTGTTTGTCCACGGACTGCTTGCTGGGGCCACGTGGCCAGTATGACTAAAGCGCTACTGGCACATGAAGGACCGTGATGAGTGCCAGAGTCCAAGGAAACGCTGTTGAAAAAGTTCCCCACCCATGGCTTAAGCACATGGTGCCTGTGTAGACATGGCAGTTGGTGCAGTGGGGCTGCATAATAGGATGGAGAGGCAATGGAACAAAGCTAATTCAGCAAAGCTGCTGCGCATCTATTCCATGTCATCCTTGCTACAAGCCTCTCTCTCCCCGCCACCCCTGTCATAATATGCAGCAGTGAGGCGGACAGAGGGAGGTCAGGTGCCCAACCATTGTCTTTCCCCACAAAGCTCAACCAAACCCTAAAAGGAAGGAGAGTAACTTACTTGCAAAAGGGAATTTGATCTTTACAACCACAGGCAACTCCTTCTGGGCAGAAATCACTTGTATTGCCTGGACAATCATCAAGATCAGCCACACCGGAACAATTGGCTGAAAACAGTGGGGAGAGAGTTGAGCTGCATAGCAATGTCATATTGACCATAATTTAAGATACCCATAGAGATAATTTGTGAGCATATTCTAATGATGTGCTGCTTTGTCTCAGGCACCCTGCGGGCCTGAGTTGTTTTGCAGGGGTATTCAACATGCCACTTGACCTATCGCTCAATATCCAAAAAAAACCCCAAAGTGCTGCACCAACAAGCACAAAACAACCCCTCTGCAACACCACAATTCCAACTTAATGGTGTAACGTTGGAAAAAGTTGACCACTTTTCCTACCTAGGCAGTTATCTTTCCACAAGAGCCAACACTGATGCCAAATTCCAGCATCGCCTGAGCTCTGCGAGCACAGCTTTCTCCTGATAGAAGTGATAGAAGTGCAGAGTGTTTGAGGACTAGGACATTCAGAAGGAAACCAAAATGCTAGTAACAAGCCATTGTACTACCAACTTTACTGTACCCTTGTTAAACATGAACCTTTTATAAATGCCATCTCCAGCTCCTTGAAAGATTCCATCAGAATTTTTTTACAGATCACTTGGGAAGACAGATGAACTAATGCCAGTGTACTGGATGAAGCAAAGATCACCAGTGTCAAAGCAATGATTCTTCAACATCAACATCAACTTTGTTAGACTGGTCATGTTGTTCTGGTGCCTGATTATCATCTTCCAAAGCAACTACTCTATTCCCAACTTAATAATGGAAAGCAAAATACTGGTGGACAACAAAAGATAACTGGGAAACTCTGCGAGTGCCCCGATTGGAGAACAGCCTTCACCAAAGGTGTCATAGACTTTGAAGAAGCATGAACTCAGGACGCAAGGGAGAAATGTGCCAAGAGGAAGGCACTCTTGGCAAATCTACACTGTGATCAACTCCTGCCGAGAAACCTATGTCCCCACTGTGGCAGGATATGGGGATCCAAAATTGGCCTCCACAGTCACTCACTGTTAAGACCATGTTCATGAAAGACAATTTTACTTGGCTACAAGTGATTGCCAAAGAAGCAGAAACAGGGGTATTCAACATGCCACCGGTGCAAGAACAGTGCATTAGTGGTGGATTCATATAGGACCACCAACATTTCAACCTGCTTTATTATTTATCATTATTACGTATTATTATTATTTGATATAAACAAACACACCTGCCCCGATGCACGAAGCACCTTTGCTCCCTGCTTCATACGAGCCACAATTAAACCAGGGAGCCTCTAATTAACAATACCTATTTCATCTAAACTGAGAAACTATGGATGGTATTTAACTTTAATTCAGAGCAGACCGGCTGACATTAAAAAAACCTAACTTTCAGGTAGTCATATCCATTCATTTTAACTGGACTAATCCCAGTAAAACTTGGTTGAGTACCACCCAATGGCTGGTACCTAGGGTGGTCTGCTGCCATATGCAACCACATCACTCTGGAAAGGTGGGTCTCTGCTGCTTGCTGGGAGGGACGAGACAACAGGGAGGCTGGTACAGTGAAAACTTGCCTGCAGAGCTGATCCAACACTCCTGCCAGTGCATTTGCACTACTCTGATGCAAAGATACACAAAGGTGTACCTCCTAAAATTACTTCTGTTGTTCTGTTTTTGTTTATTATTATTATTACTACTATTACTATTTACCTGACCTACACCGTAAGGTGTGAGGGTGAGTTACAACCACACAAAAAGATTTTAAACCAGTTAAAACAAATTACAATCAGAAGAATGGGGGCCGGGGTGGGGGAGGTAAGAACAGGCCAAGGTAAAGAGATGTATCTATATCATATGAGAAAAAGTATACCAGTAAACACCTGAGAGCAGATCAGAAGCCTGTGACCTCCTTTGCATCTGGTTAATAATAATAATCATCATCCACCTCCGGAATTACTGGCAGTTGTTGATAGGGTGACCATTAACACATTATCATAAAAGAGGACACAGAACTGCATGACATCTCTGTGTGCTATTTTATATGTATGGATGCACACTTATGACTAATGCAGAGAAGACTATGATCAGGTAACCTGAGTGCTGCTCTTTCTACCCTTTAGATGCTAATGGCTGATGGAAAACTTTAAAGTACCTCCCTTCCTAGGGTTATTAGGGGAAGAGCCGTGGCTCAGTGGTAGAGCCTCTGCTTTACATGTAGAAAGTCCCAGGTTCAGTTCCCGCCGGCATGTCCAGGAAGGGCTGGGAGATCCTTTCAAATAAAAGCCAACTCCTGTTTTTCCTTTGAATGTTCTCTTTCAGCAACCTAGTTTAGGGAGCTTTCTAACTGTTGCTATTGCTAGTCAGAAAAACATAAGAACATAAGATGATTCCAGCTGGATGAAGCCAAATACTTATCTAGTCCAGTATCCTTTTCCCACAAGTGACCAAACAGATGTCTAGAGGAAGCTCTGGTTGATCTCTTGCACACCCATCTAGAGATCTTCCAGTACACCCTTATCTACGTCTGTTATGCCTACCCCTGCCTGATGGCACAATTCTACCCATATTTCTCCAGAAGTAAGTCCCATTGTGTTCAATGGGATATATCCCCAAGTCCAGGGGTGGAGAACTTGTGGCCCTTTCATACATTGCTGGATTTTCATCACGTCCAGCCAGAATGGCCCATAGCCTAGGATATTGGGAGATGCAGTCCAGCATCCTTTGAAGGGTTGCACAGTTCCCCAGCCCTGCCCTGAAATCGTAACCCAACCTACTGCGGATTAATATTGGATTGCTTAAGTTCAAGCCCCATGTGCACCACATGTTTAAAGCAGAAAAAGAAGAAGAGTTTGAATTTGATATCCCGCTTTATCACTATCCTAAGGAGTCTCAAAGCGGCTAACATTCTCCTTTCCCTTCCTCCCCCACATCAAACACTCTGTGAGGTGGGTGGGGCTGAGAGACTTCAAAGAAGTGTGATTAACCCAAGGTCACTCAGCAGCAGCTGCATGTGGAGGAGCGGAGACATGAACCCGGTTCACAGCTTACAAGTCTACCGCTCTTAACCACTACACCCCACTTCCTCTTAGGAGAGGAAAAGCTAGATGGAGCTGGTCTCTCAGCTGAGCCAACGGACTGGGCCCTGCTTCCCATCTTTCTTTTTGCTGCAGCCAGGTGGGATGCTTTGGGCTAAACTGCTGCCAAAACGGAGGTCCCAAAACGGAGGCCATTCATTTTGATTCAGTGCATACAATAAGTGGTTATCATGTTATTTTGCCTAGATCTGTATACAAAGAAGTAGCTGCAAGTGGAGGAGCAGGGACGCAAACCCGGTTCACCAGATTACGAGACTACCACTCTTAACCACTACACCACACTGGCTCCCAGTCATGCCCTCCCCCAAAGAACTCTGAGAACTGTAGTTGGTTATTGGTGCTGAGGAAGACTCTTATTCTATTTACAAAGCTACAATTCCCAGAGCAGTTTAACAACTAATCGCTTTCCCCAGGAAACTGTAGCTAAGTCAGGATTGCGTTTTGCACCTAGGGGGATCTTGTTCAACTAGGTCTCATCTATAACCAGCCCCAAATGTTTCTTACGATCTGCAGCTTCCGTCGTCAGCCAACTCTTGGACAACACGGTCAGGAGAAGGAAGAGAGCACCAGAGGTTAACATGGTGGGATGCTGTTTGGAACAAGAGTTAATCCTCTTCTCTGGGACTCTCCTGCCCATCTGAGATTCTCCTTCAATTTTGATTTCTTGTTCTTGTTCTTTCTCCTTATAGCAGACCAAAGGTCCTGGATTTTGAACTTGTTTTACAGCAGCCTTCTTGTAAGCAATTACTAATTAACTTTTCTAAGGTAAACCTATTTGGATCCATTTTTTTATTTTTAAAAATTACAAAAGAAATAAAATATTTATAAATATATATATACAATTCCATAATACCACACATCCATACACACAAAGTCAATGGTGGTTTAAGGAGCACTACATAACTTAATAGCTATCCTTGGTTACTATTCTATTTTGAGCAGGGGATCAAATTGTATGAGTGAAAATAATATATGAACATTGAACATTGTCCTGGAGTTTTAGTTTTATATTCCAGTTATCTCTCTCTCTCTCTCTCTCTCTCTCTCTCTCTCTCTCTCTCTCTCTCTCAATATATAAAACACATCCTCTAATAGCTCTTTTATAGCATACAAAATAAATCAACAATGCTATATTCAGTGGTTTTTTTCCGGGGGGACGCATATCCCTAAACATTTTGTGAATCTAAGTCTGACCTCATTGAGGGGCAGTATTTCAATATGTGTAGGAAAATGAGAGTATCACTAAACATTATTATTAATTATTTTTTAGAAAAAAAGCACTGGGTAAGGGGCATGTCTCCCCTAACATTTCGAGGGTATCAAAAGGGCACAATCCACAGTCGTCCGTTAATGCTTTTTTTGTGTCTGTGAGCGGGGATGGAAATCTCCCAGATGAAAAGGTAAGGGCGCTGGGTTTAATTGCTGTGTCCAAGGACAGCCCCAGCAAGTTACCATGGTAAACTCTGGAATACCTTTGAATTAGGACATAATTGGCAAGTGAAGAGGCAACCTGCTAAAAAGGTCCTGATTTATGCTGGAGGGGAAAGGGAAGTCAATGTTGTAAGTAATGGTTTTTTTGGGGGGATCTGCATTATCTACCCTCCCCTAAAGCAATGGAATGCAAAATTTTTGGGAAGAGTGGACTTTAAAGATACTCCTTGCGTTGCATTTATTTTATAACTAAGGACTAAAGGAACTGAGGATTGGCAGGATGGACTGCAGGAAAATTAATTAGTTGGGGAGGGGGAGGATGGAGAGGAGATAGGGATTTTGTTGAGATTACAGTACACCAGCCTCTCTCTTTGAAGCTTGAAGATGGAAATAAGAACAGTGAACGGGACAGAATGGACCACAGTGTGTTGACGACTTCTGAGACTTTCAGACAGAAAAGAAGAGATATGGTGTTTCTTTATTAATGAACTTGTTGTGTGTCAAATTGAGGATAAAATATGGCAAAATGTGAAGGGTTGGTGACGCTGGGAGACTGGCAGTGTTAGAGGGGGAGAATGTCTATTATATAAACCAAAAAGTTTCTAGAGGTTTCGTTTTCACTCTCTGCATACTGCACTCGTGAGGCTGAGTTGTTAACTACTGGGGCCAGATGTCCAATAGCAATGTTCAAGGCCAGGTTAAGGAGGGCTGTGTTTATGTCGTCAGTGAGGAAGCAAGGTCTGTTTTCCCCCCCAGGCAAAGTGTTACTCAAGATGTATCAGAAGGAAATGTTTGAAAATTGATGAATGGCTATTATAAATAGATAGAAGACGATTTACCATATTTTTCGCCCTATAGGAAAACTTTTTCCCCTCCAAAAATGAAGGGGAAATGTGTGTGCGTCCTATGGGGCGAATGCAGGCTTTTGCTGAAGCCTGGAGAGCGAGAGGCATCGGTGCGCACCGACCCCTCTCGCTCTCCAGGCTTCAGGAAGCTATCCGCAAGCCTTGCAAGCCCGGGGGAGGTCCCGCCGGGCGTGCGAGGCTTGGGGCGGCAGCCTGCATCCCGAAGAACAGGGTGCCCTCCGGAGGATGCCCAGTGCTTCAGGAAGGTGTCCGCAAGCCTCCCGCGCCCGGCGGGAGGTCCAGCTGGGCGCGCGAGGCTTGGGGCGGCAGCCTGTTCTGGGGGCTGGGGTCAGGGGAAGCTCGGGCTTCCCCTGCGCCAGCCCCGCGCCTGCGGGGAAAATAATTTCCCCCCTTTATTCCCCCCCCCATAAAAACTAGATGCGTCCTATGGGGCGGTGCGTCCTATGTGGCGAAAAATACAGTACTCTACTTAACTATTTTGAGGACATGTTATAACAATGTATAAAAGCTATAGCAGAAATTGGTAACTGAACAGGTGATGTGTAGGGAGAAGGGATGACTGAAATGGTAGTTGGAAAAGTTATATTAGTGAGAGAAGCAAATGAGGAAGGAAAATAGAGGGGACATATGGGGTGGCGCTGTGGGTAAAAGCCTCAGCGCCTAGGGCTTGCCGATCGAAAGGTCGCGGTTCGAATCCCCGTGGCGGGATGCGTTCCCGTTGCTCGGTCCCAGCGCCTGCCAACCTAGCAGTTCGAAAGCACCCCCGGGTGCAAGTAGATAAATAGGGACCGCTTACTAGCGGGAAGGTAAACGGCGTTTCCGTGTGCTGCGCTGGCTCGCCAGATGCAGCTTTGTCACGCTGGCCACGTGACCCGGAAGTGTCTCCGGACAGCGCTGGCCCTCGGCCTATAGAGTGAGATGGGCGCACAACCCTAGAGTCTGTCAAGACTGGCCCGTACGGGCAGGGGTACCTTTACCTTTACCTTTATGGGGTGGGTAGAAATACAACTTTTAAATTTATATTGAATTTGTATTAATTTTGTGACAATTTGTTAAAAATTATGGAATGTCAATAAAAATAATTGGCCAAAAGGAGAAAGAATGGTGGGCGAGGTGATACAGAAGCTAAATATTTAGGACAGGAGTAAGGTTCTGTAGTTCTCTAGTAGAATGGGGAGTAAAGCTTTCCTACAGCCACACACCCGAAACAGACTACTGAATGTAACTGAAATGAATTACTTGTCTTATTAATATCCCAAGATTAATGGAAATGATACAAAATAGAATCATATAATTTACATGCAAAATGGAAAAATATAAAATTGAATGGATAGAAATTGATACAAAATTGGGTAAAGAATAATATTATTAATTACGTAGTAGCTGGATATGACTGGCAAATGAATTTAAAAGTAGCATTGACAAAGCAACTAAAGTAAACGAAATAACTCCTATCTCCCTCCAGCCCATCTGGTTGTGAAATAATTCTACAGCAATATTAGGCTGCCCTGACCTCAGGAACTGCAAAGGAAATGGTGTGGGATCCAGGAACAGAAATAGCAATGGCCAGGAAAGCCTTGAGTTTAGGATTGTAGCCTTAGTTGGCTAATCTGCCTGTTAAAAAGTACCATGCAATACCAACAGTATCCCCAGGAATTCTTGATACTGGCAATGGGGCACTATCACCATACATTTAAAGCACATCCATCACATATGTAAAGCACATGGCTCCCCCCAAAGAATTCTGGGAACTTAAGCAGGTAGCTGTTTGGGGGGGTGGGTACAATTCCCAGGATTCTTTGGGAGAAGCCGTGTGCTTTACATGTGTGATGGATGTGCTTTAAATGTATGGTAAGGATCTGCCCACGGAAGAAGAAGTATGATTATTGTGACTTTTCCTGACCTTTACACTTTTAGTTTGAGGAAATGAACTGATTAAATTGAGAGCCTGTGATTTATTTAGATAAGGCTCTCTTGAATATAATGATGGCAGCACAAGTATCACAAGTGCACAGTTCCTACTCACCCTGAGTGATAAGGCGCTCAACACATGTTCATTCCTGTAAATGGAAGGCACCATGATCTGAAAAACTGCCATAGCACTTGCCTGTCAGAACAGAATTATGTTTTAAGTTGGCAGAAGCCAAAAAGCTACTTTAGACACAGTCAAGGGAAATTCTATGTCCTGTGGAATTCTTAACCCACGGACCCCTTGGTCCTTATTTTATTTTATTAAATTTGTATATCTCCCTGTTAGTAAATCAGTCCACCGAAGCTGCATTTTGTAATTGGTACAATTCACATGACTATCTTGAGAGAGTGTGAGAACAGGAAGAAACAGTCTTATCTCTTCCAGCTGCATATGTTCTTTTGTAACCGTGCTTTTGCTTTTACAGTCCCCGTTTGTTCTCAGAGCTGAAGAGAACGGTAACCATTATGCATTTCTCCGTGTATAGTCTGTAAATAAATAGTAGATTAGTTCTACGGTGTCTCCTGCTTATTACTATACAAAGTCAGGAGATTAGTGTGCATAAATCATTATGATGTGTGTCGCTGGAGCATCTGGAGTAGAAGACAGCAGCTTTTCCAGAACCACGTTCACTGAAGGACAGCTGGAGGAAGGGGGGGGGCGCTGCCGATACCCCAGGGCATTTTCTAACACTCCATTATAAGATCTCAGGGCAGTATACAGAATAAAATGCAGAATAAAGGTAAAGGGACCCCTGACCATTAGGTCCAGTCGCGGACGACTCTGGGGTTGTGGCGCTCGTTTCGCTTTACTGGCCAAGGGAGCCGGCATTTGTCCGCAGACAGCTTCCGGCTCATGTGGCCAGCATGATTAAGCCGCTTCTGGTGAACCAAAGCAGCGCACGGAAACGCCATTTACATTCCCGCCGGAGCGGTACCTATTTATCTACTTGCACTTTGACGTGCTTTCGAACTGCTAGGTTGGCAGGAGCAGGGACCGAGCAATGGGAGCTCACCCCGTTGCGGGGATTTGAACCGCCGACCTTCTGATCAGCAAGTCCTAGGCTCTGTGGTTTAGACCACAGCGCCACCGGAGTCCCAAAATGCAGGATAAAAACAAGTAATTAAGTAAAACAAACAACAGCAATTTCCGCTCCCGTTTCTGTTTCTTTCAGAATTCTCTGGCATCCCTTATCTTAATCTTGAAGAAGTAAAATCAGGCACAGTGCTAAAGTAACATATCATTGACTACTCCACAGATTTTCCATGGACCACCTGAGCAGAGCTCACAAGCCACTGGTGGTTTGTGGACCACTGTTTGAGAACCTCTGCCTTAGGTGACTGCAAGGGTGAGGATGGGTGTGCTGGTCCCGGGGGGAGGTTACCGTGGGGCGAGGTCCAGGACCCGAGTCGAGGGTCGGCAGACAGTCCTTCACGGGCGAAGCGGGGTCCACAGGGAGGAGCCGGACAAGGACAGGAACACTGGAGGAACAGGACTGGATGCTGGCCGAAACAGCTCTTCAATGACGACGTTGCTCCCGCAACCTGGGACCGGGCTGACTGGCCTTTATCTTCTCTGAGGCCAGGGGCGGTCCCGGCCCCCAGGAGCCCCGCCTCTCCTGGCCTTAAGGCGAGCACTCCTCCTGGGAGAAACCAGTTCCCTTCGCCTCTCTGCCCTAAGCCTCTGCAGTTCAGGAGAGGCTGAAGGGTTACTGGGCCCAGGGTGAGACTCACCTGTAGGCACTGAGTCCTCAACCACCTCTGGAGCCAGAATGGATTCACCTGGTGCCTGCTCCTGAGGATCCGGCACAGGTGCAGGCTCCTCAGAATCAAGGCCCTGCCCCAGTTCAGCCGGCCCTGGAGGCAGGGACTCCTGTGCAGGCTGGGATTCCTCCGGTTCACTCTCTGAATCGGATTCCCAGGCCATCACAATGGGCCTAAATATCTCCCATTAGGATTTTTGAACATGGAAAGCTATCATAATAGTTGACCCACCTCTGTGTTGTTTCTTTGAGTCCCTCTCCTTCCCACCTGTGCAAAGCAATTCACTAAAGGGGAGGAGATTAGGGGAGGTAGAGAATTGTGACACTGATCCCATTGTGACTCTTCATATGATCCACATATGCTTAATGGCTCAACCACCAACTGAAGCACAAGGTGGGATGGAAACTGGGCAGCAGCAGGAAGTCAAATCCCCACCTATGTAAAGGGGGAAGGAGAAAACAGGGTGGGGAAGGGTGGGGAGGAATAACATCTTTTCCCACCTTTTATTTTTTGTGCGTTGGCTAACAATAGCCGTTGGAGATGGTGAATGAAGTCAGTCCCCCAAGGAGAGGCCCAGCAGCACTCAAGCTCCCTTGTGGGAAGTGATCAGCATCCTTGCTGCTTCATGCTCTCAGGATGTCTGGCAGCTCTCTGAACCGCTTCCGGGTTCGTCCAGCAGAACCGCGGGACTGTACGGAAATCCTGCGTCTCATCAAAGTAAGCGGGGGGTGGGGAGGGGAAGAGAGGCTGTAGGGAAGGAAAGTTCGATTTTTAGGCCATTGGACACATTTGGATTTTTGAGTGAGTTGTGTGGGTGCCTCCCTTTCTGTTTATCTCTCTCCCATTCCCCTGAATCTGCCCACCCCTACCCAAAGACAAGAACAGAGAAACACACAAAGACACACACTTCCTTCTTCCAAAATATCAGGGTAAAAATTGGATCAGAGTAAAAAATTGGATCCAAGAGAATTAATCTGAGCACTGAAAGAGGAACTGAGAAAGAACATCACTCCTTCACTCTTTCCTCAAGGTAGAAAAGGGTAATTACCTTTGCTACCTGATGGCCAGGGCTACCCTGAGGAGTTCTTCAAGTTGCCATTGTATCCATTGGCGACTCCTGGGCTTGGGACTGTCATGAGACACAGTCCAATCCTATAAACTGCTAGGCTAGCAGATAAGTATGATTGCAGTAATTTCGGAAGGAAGGAAGATTTAAACATTTTTAGGATCATAGAACATCCCAGAGTGGCTTATAAGAAAGGAGCCACTATAAAACATTATGAACTAGGCAATTAAAATAATACATAATTTGTGAAAACTCTTTAAATACTGTATAAAACAAAGAGGACAGCAGATAGCAAAGCCACATAAAATCACCACAACCAGTCACATAATAATCCCCAATGCAAAACCAATGCCATTTACAAAATTAATAGGTTCATTTTACACAAAAGCAGACAAGAAAATAAAAGTCTTTAGGGGCTGTAATGCCATGGGTGACACTAATGAGTGTGACTTCTGCCAGCACAGCAGCAAGCATGCTCTGCTTCCTGTCTCTCTCCCGGTCAGGCCGTCTGATGGAATGGCTTCCCCCAGGGGCCAGCTGAGGGAGCAGGGAGGGTTGACGGTGCTGGGCTATTACAGCACAGCCAAGTTTATTTCATTTCATTTCATTAAATTTATATCCCCACCCCACTTTCCTCTAACAAGCTCGAGGTAACATGCACGCTTCTTCTGACAACAACCCTGTGATGTAGGTTAGGCTGAGATACTATAGCTGTCCCAAGGTTGCTCAGAAAACTTCATGGGGATTATGAACCCTGGTTTTTCAGGTTCCAGACCACACTGGCTCTCTGTGGTTGGTAATCCCCATTGAACTCGGCGGGACTTCCTTCTGAATAAACATCCACAGGTCTGTGCTGTTAATGGTTGCTAAGAAAGACAAACCCCTCCTCTTCGCCCACGATCATTGCGATCCTGAGTGCTTTTCCTGCCTTCCACCCACACCCATATACATTTTTTTTTTTACAAGCACATTTGGTCAAATAACACATTTAACATCACATCTAATTTAGCCCTTTATTTGATGCCCAAATGCCATCAAGGAGATAGCCAGGCAGAGAAGGTAAAAAGGGTAAAGGTACCCCTGCCCGTACGGGCCAGTCGTGTCCGACTCTAGGGTTGCGTGCTCATCTCGCTTAAGAGGCCGGGAGCCGGCGGCGTCCGAAGACACTTCCGGGTCACGTGGCCAGCGTGACGAAGCTGCAGCTGGCGAGCCAGCACCAGCGCCGCACACGGAAACGCTGTTACCTTCCCGCTATAAAGTGGTACCTATTTATCTACTTGCACTTAAGGGTGCTTTCGAACTGCTAGGTGGGCAGGAGCTGGGACCGAACGACGGGAGCTCACCCCATCACGGGGATTCGAACCGCCGACCATGTGATCGGCAAGTCCTAGGCGTTGAGGTTTTACCCACAGCGCCACCCGCGTCCCCTAGGCAGAGAAAGCAGTCCTTTAATTAGCATTTTGGGGGAAAAATGGATGCAGTTTCTATTATTTCTGACCCCTCCACCACTCTCTTCTACTGGTTTAAAACCATGCTATTCTGTCAGCAGTTTTATCTATTTATCTTCCTGTTTTAAAACTGAATTACCCCTTTTAGTTGTTGTCATTACCAGTATTCCAGTGATTAAGGCAAGGTGTATGTTTTGCAAACAGAACAGCTCTTAGGATAGCAAGTGGCGCACCTGTAGCTTTCGGTGCAAAGAGCTCTTGCTCTGATGCTCCAGGACATTTAGAAGCTGGTATGTACCAGTTCCTCTTAGACAAAATTGGATGTGCGTCCTTCTCCGTCTCAAAGCAGGGTACATATTAAAACATATATTGAGCTGGAAAACTAATCAAGCAATTTGCCTCTTGAAATATGGAACCATTAATTGTGGTTTGTTGCTTTCAGAGAAGCTATCTTATTTGAGCTGTTTCCAAGGAACAGGCACAACAAGTTGCATTATGCAACATATAGAAGAATTTTATCTCTCCTACCAACAGAGAGGTCTTGGGCTGATCTCTGCCAGTGACCTAGGGAAAGCTATAGATTACTAACTGACGTAATTTATTAAGAGTGCTGGCACTGCCCTTGGGACTTCCCTGAAAAATATTGTTTGGACTGTCAGCTTCCATAAACAGGGGCCAATCTGCAGCAATGATGGAGGCAACCCAGAGTTAGATGTGTGTTTGTTTTGGCATATTTTGTTTGGTTTTTTTTAGAGAAAATCTGGAATGTGTGTATATTTTTGAAGTTCGTATAATTTTTATTTTAAGGAAAAGAAAACCAATCAATACAACAATAACAGTCAACCAAAACCTGAACTGATGATCCCCAGAGATTTTCAAGTGTCTCTAGGAAGAAACTTAACATTAGTAGATGAACCAGTGCTTGTCCCATGCGCTATGACAGTGTTGGCAGCTGCGGTTTTCAGGGAGCATCCATTGCCTCTCCATGGCTGCTGCTGCCAACTTCCTTCCTTGGGCAGCTCATGGCAGCTGCTGTAAAGCATGTGAGGAGGAGCAGGAGCAGGAGAGGCTTCCACAGCGGAAGCGCAGCCCTTTGTGACATGTCAGCTCTGAGGGGCAGGCAGAGGGCAGGACCACCCTGGGCAGTAAGAAAGCGGGAGCAGAGTGCAAGGAGTCGATTTTTCTTTTAAAAAATGCTTTATGTGTTCATTCTAATCTTGCCCCTTTCTAAAAATTTACTTGTGTGCGAATTTCTTTTTTGTAAATCTATCGAAGAATAAAATAAAATTGGGATTAAGTGGTTTCCTTAGGACAGTGTGCGGTGCATGTGCTGTGTCCCATTGGTCTAGTGGTGGTGAAACCCGCCCTCCTTCTGATTGGAAATGCTTTAGAGGTGGGATACAAAAAATGTGGGGACGCGGGTGGCGCTGTGGGTAAAAGCCTCAGCGCCTAGGGCTTGCCGATCGAAAGGTCGGCGGTTTGAATCCCCGCGGCGGGGTGCACTCCCATTGCTCGGTCCCAGCGCCTGCCAACCTAGCAGTTCGAAAGCACCCCCGGGTGCAAGTAGATAAATAGGGACCGCTTACTAGCGGGAAGGTAAACGGCGTTTCCGTGTGCTGTGCTGGCTCGCCAGATGCGGCTTTGTCACACTGGCCACGTGACCTGGAAGTGTCTCCGGACAGCGCTGGCCCCCGGCCTCTTAAGTGAGATGGGTGCACAACCCTAGAGTTTGTCAAGACTGGCCCGTATGGGCAGGGGTACCTTTACCTTTACAAAAAATGTAGGGTGGTTGAGGAGGGTCAGTAGGGAGTGGGGAGTGAGAAAATCCCCTATTTTTGTCTGAGGAAGGGTACAAACTTGCTGCTCTCTAAATGTTTTGCACAAGGACTCCCACTGTGCACAGCCAGAGCTAGATTTGTAGTCCAAAACATATGGAGGTCACCAAGTTGATGAAGGCTGATCTGAAGGTTCCAACGCCCAGCATTCTCAGAAACTATCCCACCACACACCACTTTTCAGCCCCACTGACACTTAAGCTTTGTTCAATATGTGAAAGAACCCTGAGCTACCTATCTAACTGTGGTTAAGAAGGAATCGTGTATTCTTTATGCAAGCCACCACAAGGAAATGAACAATATATAGCTTGCAGATTGTGTTCCAGGGACCCATGATGCTGCCGTTATATTACTTCCCTATGACTTGCCTATATTGTCTGGTACTATCTGCTGCAGGCGGTATCTCCGTGGCAGAACAATTTATCAGCTTAGCTATCTGAGTTCCTTTAAACTAGAGATGACGGGGATTGAACTTAGCACCTTCTGCCTGCAAAGCCAGGGTTCTGCCACTGAATTATGGAAAGCACCTCCATATCTTCCTTGGTAAAACAAAAAGCAGCAGCAAGTAACAAGAACAAAAAGCAGGCTGCTAGCAAGTTCCACAGAGAAGCAGCAGCATCTTGTTGCTCATGGCATGGAATATTCCAATGATTAATATCAATTATCCAAGCTTCTGCTTTGAAGGGTTTCACTCATAAATCTGTTCCATCCTGTTTCCAGCTCAATCTGTTGCTTTAAAACTTGCACATAAAAAAACAATTTCTTTTTTATTTGTTTATTGGAAGGTTTGTGCAGTGGGCAGCAGAGATGTGATACAACAGAGTCTATTGCTTACAGCCCAAATATTTATGGAGCAAAATAGTAGTAGCTGTTGCTGTTGTTATTATGATTATGAAAAATACATAAATAGAAGTAGAAGTCATAGAACAAATCTGCCTAACAAATATCCATTGACTTGTTCTGATACTCTGTAAGGCTCCTAATAAATTAAGCGGGTCAACATGATCCTGTACTGCATTACACCAGTGAATAATTTCAAAAGCTCGGATGTCCCAGGGTTGAAAAACATACTCCGTTCTCATGGTGATTCTTTGTGGCCTCTGGCGGGAGGAGGGGGAGTGACAGAGCATCTATTTTCTGCCTCCCCCTTCATTTCATGGTACAGGTGCGTGGGTGGAGCTTGCTGTTCTCTCTCTGAACTTGCCTTTTATCAGAGGCTCCCACATCATGTTTTCCATTCCTTGTCTGCGAGTACCAGACACAACTGCAGCTTCTAATTAGCTGGTTGTTGGTGTTTGCAAACCTGTCTTTGCCCAAAGACACGCCTGGTGTCATATATGATATCAAATTTTGGGCAAGTTGCTGCGGCTAATGAGGTCCATGAGCCAGAAGCCCCCCCCCCCAGCTCAGCTATGGCACCTTGGAAAGGAATCTAAGCATCCCTGTCACCATCACTTTGCTTGTGTCGGTGGCACAGCCACCAGCCTCCCAAAAACTTGCCAGATTCTGTCTCTGTCCCACTTTCCCTGTTGGGGAGGGGTCACCAATATTCAACCTTGCGTGAGAATTCTTCCACCACTCCTGGTTTCACAGAGAAGGTAATCAATAGCTACCAGCCATGGCGGCTATGTACTAACTCTGGATCACAAGGGGGTAGGAGGATATTGTTGCACCCAGGTCCTTTTTGTAGGCTTCCCAGAGGCATCTGGTTGGGCACTATGAGAACAGGATGGTGGGCCACATGCTCTTCTTATACTCATGTCAAAGTTCTTCTCCTTTATTCATTTATTTACATTTATTAAATCAGTATACCGCCCTTCATCCAAAGATCTCAGGGCATTCAGAGCATTTCTGCCTGCATGGTGGAAAGGCTCCCCTTTGGCACCGGACACAGCTCCCAGGCAGTTATTCCACACAAGCACAAGAAAGGTTAGTGCGACGCCTGCCTGCCTGGCCTCCCACCTGTCCATCCATTCCCAACAGCAGGGGCTGGTAGGCTGGCTGGCTGGGTTCCCTCACCCACTTGCTTGCCTAGTCCGCCTCAGCTCCTGGTATAACCAGTACCCCCTGGCAGAGGCACCATTCACCTGGGGAGCTTATAGCCAGGGCGGCTGCAACAAACAGAGAGGGCATCAGAGAAGGGAGGGAAGGGAGGAGGGGCCAATGTGGCTTGTGGTGCCCCTATCATTCCAAGGCACCCCAGGGTGCCAAGACACACTGGTTGAAAACCCCTGCTCTAGGGCATCCGATTGGTAATTCCGGGAACAGGATGCTTGACTAGATGGGCATATGCCTAATCTCTCAAGGCTCTCCTTATATCAAGGAGCTGACCTTCACTAACAACACCATTCCAATCTTTCATAGTGTTGTTGTTTTTAAAGTCTGCTTTGCTATTTTGGTGATATTCTGGTTTCTTCTCTTGGCAGGAACTAGCTGCTTATGAAAACATGCCTAATGCAGTAAAAGTAACAGAAACAGGTAACGTAGATGCCTAGCGTATTAAATTTAAAGGTAAAAGGTAAAGGTACCCCTGCCCGTACGGGCAAGTCATGTCCGACTCTAGGGTTGTGCGCCCATCTCACTTAAGAGGCTTGGGGCCAGTGCTGTCCGAAGACACTTCCGGGTCACGTGGCCAGCGTGACAAGCTGCATCTGGTGAGCCAGCACCAGCGCAGCACACGGAAACGCCGTTTACCTTCCCGCTATAAAGCTGTACCTATTTATCTACTTGCACTTAAGGGTGCTTTCAAACTGCTAGGTGGGCAGAAGCTGGGACCGAAGGTGGGAGCTCACCCCGCCGCGGGGATTCGAACCGCCGACCATGCGATCGGCAAGCCCTAGGTGCTGAGGTTTTACCCACAGCGCCACCCGCGTCCCTGTGTTAAATTTAGGAGGCTGCTATTTATTTGACCTCCAGGCCTTCTTCAGAGCGTAACATGCGATCAAGTCCTCGGCCCTGTCCCTCAGGTGAAGAACCACACAGTTTACAATTTTAAAACACTAAAACAAATACATTATATAAGGTGGAGACTGAAATCCTCTTATGCCAACTGATGGCCTGGGCTCCCTCACTTCTGCCTCCCCTCAAGGCAGGCGTCTTTATTTTTATATACAACTTGTATCACCTGGTGGCAGGATGCTGGTGGTAATTTTAGGATCAGAGCAAGAACTGAGATGGAATTGAACCAGTTTCCATCCTTGCTATGGTCCTGATTTGATCGTCTTTCTAACACACACACACACACACACACACACACACTGCAATTTGCATGGGGGGGGGGAGAAATCTTGCACATTGTGCAAATCCACATTTCAAGTGTAATTTGGCTCACAGAAAACTAATGTGAGGGAAGATGGTTCTAGATCGAATGACCTGACACCTTCTGAATGGTTTGGACTCCAAGATGTTTGGAGGACGCTATGGTTGGCTAAGATTAGACTAGTTTAACATCTCCCTGGACGCGGGTGGCACTGTGGGTAAAAGCCTCAGCGCCTAGGGCTTGCCGATCGAAAGGTTGGCGGTTCGAATCCCCGCAGCGGGGTGCGCTCCCGCTGCTCGGTCCCAGCGCCTGCCAACCTAGCAGTTCGAAAGCACCCCTGGGTGCAAGTAGATAAATAGGGATCGCTTACTAGCGGGAAGGTAAACGGCGTTCCGTGTGCTGCGCTGGCTCGCCAGCTGCAGCTTGTCACGCTGGCCACGTGACCCGGAAGTGTCTTCGGACAGCGCTGGCCCCTGGCCTATAGAGTGAGATGGGCGCACAACCCTAGAGTCTGTCAAGACTGGCCCGTACGGGCAGGGGTACCTTTACCTTTACCTTTAACATCTCCCTAACATGCCGGTTATTTACACGCAGGGATTTTAAACCCACCAACACCTACCTACCCCTGTTCAAACAGATTTAGCAAAAAGGCTGGTGTTCATGTGGTCTGGCCTTGCATCAGATCTGCATATTGGTGAAGATGCCTGTTTTGGCCTTTGATCTTTTTTGCCAACACAATTCACATGTTGCTGTCCAAAGAAAAGAGCCCCAACAATACAATTTTGTTTGGGTGAACCTCTGATTTCACACCCTCCAGTCCATCATGGCTGCTCTCCCACACCCGCCCAGAATTCTACTTTGAGAAGAAGCTGGTGGCAACATTATTCATTTTTATTATTTATTAAATTTGTATACTGCCATTCATTTGTAGCTCCCGGGGCGATTTGCAACATAAAAATACAAGATAACCCCCCAATACCATATTTTCCACTCTATAAGATGCACCAGACCACAAGATGCACCTAGTTTTTGGAGGAGGAAAACAAGAAAAAAAATATTCTGAATATCAGAAGCCAGAACAACAAGAGGGATCGCTGCGCAGTGAAAGCAGCAATCCCTCTTGCTGTTCTGGCTTCTGGGATAGCTGCACAGCCTGCATTCGCTCCATAAGACGCACACACATTTCCCCTTACTTTTTAGGAGGGAAAAAGTGAGTCTTATAGAGCAAAAAATACGGTACATAATAAAAAGAAGAACAAGGCCAAACCAACAACTAAACCTCCCTCCCTCCCTCGCACTCCACCCCACCCTACTACTACTACTTAGTACTAGTAAGTACTACTACTTAGTACTACTACCTATTATGAATCTTCTTTTATCTTGGGACTATATTTTAGTGCTTTATTCAACTATCTAAACATTTCAGATTTGCTTCGAGATGGTTTCGGATCACGTCCTTTCTTCCAGTGTTTAATAGCAGAAGCAAATAAGGATGATGCAATGCAGGGTAAGCTTTCAAGAAAACAAAGTTATCATTTATTTGTATAACTAGGTATCCCATAGAATGAGTGCCAACACTGAAAATGCTCCACCTCAAGAAGCTACCCACTGGACTGCATCTGGTGGGGGTACCCAGAGAAGGACCTCAGAAGATAATAGGGTCTAGGTGGGTTGGGGTGGGGAACCTGTGGGCCTCCAGAAGTTGCTGGACTACAACTTTATCACTTCTGGATATGCTGAATGGGCTTGATGTGGGTGAGGGGTCCAATGACATTTGGAGAGCCTCATCACTGGCAATGCTGAGGCTCCCAGTTCAACTGCAACCTTCTAAGCCTCCCTATCTGAACTTTGGTGCTCTCACCATAGCAAATCCCACCCTAGCTATACCCCTCCTTGAGGGAATGTAGCATTGAGTTCCTCTTGCCTGCCTGCCTGGATCAAAAAGTGTGTTTGTCTGTAGAAACTAACTTAGGTCATTTTTGGCATCCATTGCTCCACCTATGAGTATAAGGGGTGTTAGGAGATGGGTAGTACATTGTGCACGAAACAAGGATGCCCACTGCCCCCCTTCCTATTCATCCTGGCCCTGGAACCTCTAGCAATCCGAATCTGGGCAGTCCGACATCAAGGCAGTGGAAATAAAAGACAAAACCTATAAATTAGGGCTCTTTTCAGATGACCTAATAGTCACAACACCAGACCCCATCAACACAGCAACCACCTTAACCAAAGAACTCAGCACATTTGCAATGGTATCGGGTTAAACTTTGCAAAATCTGAGGCTATGTGCTTCAACACTCCCTCCATATCCAAAAAGAATTCACCAACATCACAAAGATAAAAGTCTGCCGCACCAAGTTCAGATACTTAGGGGTACAGATAACCAGAAAACACAAAAAACTGTACCACCAAATTACAAACCCCTATGGTGACAAATTAACAAAGACCTGACAAGATGGAGCAATACTAACTTCACTCTCTCAGATATAATAGCCGTGATCAAAATGATTACCCTTCCAAAATTAACCTACCTATTCCAAACCCTTCCAATCTGGATTCCACCAACCCAACTCCACAAATGGCAGAAGAAACAACACTTGTTTATCTTCTCACACAAAAAGCCAAGAATAAGCCCCAAACACCTGCACCTCCCCACCTCAGAAGGAGCATGGGGAATCTCCAACATAGAACTATACTACATCGCCAACCATATAATCCCATACATTCTAGAAGATGAGAAGAAACAATGGGTGCACTTGGAGAGAGACATAAACGAAAACACTCCCACCCCAGGATATAAAGGTAAAGGTACCCCTGCCCGTACGGGCCAGTCATGTCTGACTCTAGGGTTGTGCGCCCATCTCACTTAAGAGGCCGAGGGCCAGCGCTGTCCGGAGACACTTCCGGGTCACGTGGCCAGCGTGACGAAGCTGCTCTGGTGAGCCAGCACCAGCGCAGCACACGGAAACGCCGTTTACCTTCCCACTATAAAGCGGTACCTAGTTATCTACTTGCACTTAGGAGTGCTTTCGAACTGCTAGGTGGGCAGGAGCTGGGACCGAGAGACGGGAGCTCACCCCGCCACGGGGATTCGAACCACCGACCATGCGATCGGCAAGCCCTAGGTGCTGAGGTTTTACCCACAGCGCCACCCGCGTCCCTACCCCAGCATATACTTTCCTCCAAAACAAACTAAGGAAAATCCCCACCACACTAAACAGGTTCACACAGACCAGGCTTCCTCAAACTCAGCCCTCCAGATGTTTTTGGCCTACAACTTCCATGATCCCTAGCTAGCAGGACCAGTGGTCAGGGATGATGGGAATTGTAGTCTCAAAACATCTGGAGGACCGAGTTTGAGGAAGCCCGACACAGACCATGCTTACATAGAAAGAAGAAGTTGGCAAACTGTCCCCAACCCCATGCCCACTAATCCCCTGGCTTACCACCCACTATTCCACCATGCAGCACAAAATCTCCAGATAAAAACCTGGCAAGCCTATATCACACAGCAGACTTCTTCAAAAATAACAAACCCATATTGACACAAGAAATACAAAATAAATAACCTGGCTAACACACCACCAACTACACACCTTAAACAACCCAGCAGTAAAATCATCAGCCACTAGGCCCTTGACCACCTTCAGAAGTCTTCTCCTAACAACAATGGGACATAGCAAGGGGATGGTATCTACAGTATACAAATAGGTAGCCGTGTTGGTCTGCCATAGTCAAAACAAAAAAAATTCCTTCCAGTAGCACCTTAAAGACCAACTAAGTTAGTTCTTGGTATGAGCTTTCGTGTGCATGCACACTTCTTCAGTGTGTATCTGAAGAAGTGTGCATGCACACGAAAGCTCATACCAAGAACTAACTTAGTTGGTCTTTAAGGTGCTACTGGAAGGAATTTTTTTGTTTTTTACAGTATACAAAACACTGCTCCAAAGTCCCACAAACCCTCTTCACATAATCAAAAAACGACATAGGCTGTGAAATTAACCCCACCCAATTGACTAGAATGTGGTCTAAACCTCCCTTTAAATCCATATCAGCAAGAAGAACTCACTCTGAAACTCACTTACAGATGGTACCCAACACCACAGAAAGTGGCACTGATACACCCAGGAACCTCATCGAAATGCTAGCAAGGCTGCACCTCCACAGGCTCATACCTCCACATGTGATGGGAATGCCCCCAAACCCAACTCTTCTGGACAACAGTCATACAAGAAATAAGCAAAATAACTAAACAGGTACTAGAAGTCACGCCCTACTGAATATCTTCCAAGATAACAATGCCCACTTACCCTATAAAGAGCTCATATCCCACCTACTCTCAGCAGCCAGAAACAACATAGCCAGACACTGGAGGGACCTGTCTGGAATAAAGATGGAACACTGGTATCAAGTAGTATGGGAAACAGCCTTACTAGAAAAGCTAACCAGTAGACTGAAACTGACATGGGGAGAAATAGAAGAGGATGCCTTCACTTCAGCATGGCTCCCCTTTATCACATACACAGCCCAACAAGGCAGCAGCATGAACCCACCGACAGAATACAATTCAATATAGCTAACTTAACCCAACAACTCAGAGCAGGGTTTTCATTGCCAGTGCTCATGTTCTGTGGAACAGCATCCCTATTGGGATATGGTGAGCCCACCACTTATGTGGGTTTTATGCTGGGAAGTTCCCAGAGTCAGATAAGCAAAATGGAGGGCTCTTTCTGTGGTGGGTTTCCCCTGCTCTCCAACTATTTTTCAGCTGTGTGCCAGAGGTTCTGATTGCGCAGGTAAATTAAGGGTAAATCGTGGACCCACTTTACTTTTGGGGAAAATAAAAGACATTATTGCTTTGACAAGCTTCTACATTTCAAGAGAAAGGTTTCTGCTTTAAATGTTCACTTTGTATTGTTTGCAAGCCTGTATTTAGTTGGATTTTTCCTATTCTTTTCGAAACTGTTTTTCATTTTTAAGTTTGTAAATCGCAGACTCACGTGAAAGGCAATAATAAATATCTCCCCACAAGAACCCCCCTGTTATCCAGGACCTAAAACATGTAACTTGCACTCCTTGACATTTAAAGTGTGGAGAATATTCTACTTTGTTTTGGAATTGCTTGTCAACAACGGATTGCTACTTCTCTCAAAATACTTTATGCAATTTTAAATGAGTTTCAGCACATGTTGTTGAACCTCCTGCCATTTGACCAAGAGGCACATAGTGTGTCCTAAAAGATGACAGCCTCAATCCTTTTAATTGCTTGGAGAATTCAAAAAACTTTTTTTAAAAATCAGCTAAACATTAAAGGTCTGGCAATAGCTTCACAATCCAAAAGAGGCTTTTAGATTTGTGTTCTGTTAGTCACAGATGTATATACCACCCTGCTGGATGGCAAATGGTGTTTTGAAGCTAATAAATATTTCAAAAGCAATTCTTGGCATATCCTGATGGGAGGGAGAATGGGTCAACTGTGCAACAAAAACGAAATTAACACCCCCCACCAAGAATATGAAGATATTTACATGAACCTAAAATGTGAGCCCTTTGATCCTGGCCTTTTTAAAGAGCTTAGTCAGTGGTTGGGGAGGTGGTATTTGGCTTAGCGCAGTAGTGCTGGGAGAGAGAGGTAATTAACTTCTCACACAGTTTCCCCTATCCTTCCCTATGTCTGAGCTATTAAAATGCTCTCTAGGGGGGAAAGGACAAGTGCAATATAGGCTCTTATTTTTCTTTCCACCCACCAAGATGATATCACTGCATCTAATACAGTGGTACCTCTGGTTACATACTTAATTCGTTCCGGAGGTCCATTCTTAAGCTGAAACTGTTCTTAACCTGAGGTACCACTTTAGCTAATGGGGCCTCCCGCTGCTGCTGCGCTGCCGCCGCCGCGTGATTTCTGTTCTCATCCTGAAGCAAAGTTCTTAACCCAATATACTATTTCTGGGTTAATGGAGTCTGTAACCTGAAGCGTATGTAACCTGAAGCGTATGTAACCCAAGGTACCACTGTACAGTGGTGGTTAGTGTCCATTGGGACTGGTAGGGTGGGAGGCAGGGAGGCCAACAGAAGGTGGCACCAGAGTAAACAACAGGTAGAGCCAGAGCCAATGACAGAGAGAGTGAAATAAATTTGCTATGTCTCCATCCTCCTGGCTGCTGAGTTCTACAAGGGCAACAATGGGACTAAGGAGGGGGAAGTTGAGAGGCAGTGGTACAACCTGGTATAGCTGCAGTTAAGAAGGTAGACATGAGGACGCTAGAGGAAGGTAGGCAGAGGTTGGAGGGGCAATGCCCCCACCTACCCAAACAGACCAGCCTCTGCTGCTCTAATAGCCAACTCAGGTACTGAGTGCAGAGAGGATTGGAGCCAGTGTGGTATAGTGGTTAGGGTGTCAGACCAAGTCCTGGTTCAAATTCCCACTCAGTTATTAAGCTCCCTGGGTGACCTTCGGCCAGTACTACTTCATAGGGGTGGTGGGGAAGAGGAGCTCCATGGAGAAAAAGGTGGTATATAAATGTTGTAAATAAAATAAATAAGTAATAAATTGGTGGCAAAGTGGGACCACTGACAACAAAGGAAAGGAGAAAATCTCTGTATGCTCAGGGGGAAGACAGAATTACTAATGGGGCTTCTGAGGCACAATTGCATCATTATGTTGGTGTAGGACTATTTTGGCTTTGTTACTGAAAATGTTTTTAATTAAAAAAACATTGAAGTGGCTTTTCCTTATAGCAGTGTGGTTCTCTTTCCTTTTGTTGTATTAAACAGTAAGCCCTTTTATATTGAGGAAATTTGATTTGCTTAAAAAATAACGACACATGGTTTTGTTTGCTCCCCTGGCTCCTTTGGAAGGCCATGACAAAAGAATATTTTTTTTTTCAAAAATGCAAATTTAATACTTCTTACGAAAGGTGCCATTACCAAATTCAGTAAAATTCTGGTCTATTTATGTTGAAGTGATCATTTAGAAGGAAGGTGTAGTATCTAATGTTAGTTAGACCTGTGGAAATTAATGATTATTACTAAACTAAAACAAATGTGTGCACTCTGAGTAGAAATTAGTTGGATACAGTCTAAAATGATTAACTAATTCATAATTCTCTAGCTGATTGACAGCCTTACACAATAGTGGTTATTTCCTTACAATAGCTGTTTTGTGTCTTACCAGATACCGACATTGTAGGGTTTGCTATGTATTACTATACTTATGACCCTTGGATTGGCAAGCTGTTGTACTTAGAAGACTTCTACGTTATGGATGAATATAGAGGTAAAAATAATACTGTTTGCACATAATAAAGTGAGAGGCAGTGTGGAGGTGTGGTTAGATAGTTGGGCTGAGATTGGGAAGACCCCGGAGATAAAGTCCTCATCACTTAGCCCTAAAGCCTAAAACTGGGTTAGGGAGACTGTGGCCCCCAATATATTGTTGTATTCCTAGCTCCCATCAGCCCCAGCCAGTTGGGCAAGGCAGTTTGCATTTAAAGGGAAACATACCTAATTTGCACTTTCCAAAACAAAATGCAAACTGAAACAGTCATCCTTTGAAATTTGCGATACAGTTCTCCAACCAAGGAAAGTGTTCAAAATTGCATATACCAGGGTGAAATGTGCATAAAATGCACCTAACTCCTGCACCAAGCTGGTGCCAAACATACAGTACTGCTTTCCGTTCCTTTGGACCATCAAGACCATATACACTGTCCAGGCTTGCTTAGTGAAAAATGAATCATGTAAGGGAAATTGCTTTTCAAAATTGTTTATACTGAGAGTTTTGCACTGATTTGGGATGTGAATAACTGAATTTAAGACTGCCCGGCATTTCCGTGCGCTGCTCTGGTTCGCCAGAAGCAGCTTCGTCATGCTGGCCACATGACCCAGAAGCTGTATGCCGGCTCCCTCGGCCAATAAAGCGAGATGAGCGCCGCAACCCCAGAGTTGGCCATGACTGGACCTAATGGTCAGGGTTCCCTTTACCTTTTAACTGCCACTAACCATGGTGGCTTCTGAAGAACCATTTTGTCCTGAGGAAAGGGGAGAATAGGATTTCAATATTGAGTTATTTCTCATTTTGCCTTGTTTTATTGTCCAATTGTTACTCATGCTTATTGTTAATAATTCTATGGAGCCAGCTTTGTGGGGCAGTATAGGGAAACACCTTGAATAAATATTTACATTCTACATTGAACAACCATCAGTAACCTGGTGCCTTGCAATGTTTTGGACTACAGTACAACTCTCAAAATCACTGATCATCAGCTCTGCTAGCTGGGGCTAGGGATGGAGGAGAAACTAGATTCAGTTCACATTTATAGGCAAAGCTTCCTAATTCACATTTTCTGTAACAATACATAAACTGAAATGCCGCAAGCTTTCCTTGGAGATTCACACTTCTCTCAATTTTGCACTACAGTTTCCAAGCCATGTAATGTGTGGAAAAATGCATAAACTGGGCACAAAAATGCATATATTAGTAAAAATAGCATACAAAATGCAAAGCTATATTTGCAAAGTTGTATATATATATATATATATATGAGGGAAAATGCACAATAAATATCACTAAGTTCTCATGAGAATTTTTATTTTTTTTAAAGTGATGTGCCAATGTGGAGAACTGCATTTGAGTGTGAAAAAATGAGAAACTCAAATTGATAGATTCACCCATCCTTAGTTGGGGCTGATAGGACTTGGGAGTCCAACAAAATTTGTAGGGCACCAGGTGGAAGGAGGCTAGCCTTGCAGTTCCATTTCCTTTTCTTTCCTAAAATAATGATAAATGTACAGGCTTCTTTGCAATTTCAAAGAAATTAATTTTTTTGTATGTGTATAGGATAATGCATTAGATTTTACCTGTAAATGTTCCTATTTTGTTCATGGCTCATGGCAAAGAAGATAAAATAGCATATTGTCAAAGCAGGCAAATTTTTCACATGGGTATGTTGCAAGTTTTGTCATCTGAGGTTTTTCTGAACTGTGTTTTGGCAGGTTGGGGCATTGGAACAGAACTTTTAAAAAGATTAAGCCAGGCAAGTTATGTTTTCCTGTCTTCTATTTACTTGTATGTATTTACTTTGTAAGCTGTATATTCAACAGTACAGACTTAAATCTACTTTAGTCAAAAAGCTGCTGACATATTAAATTTGACTGAGAGTCTTCTCTAGCCTGGTGCCCTCCACATGTTGCTGGACTACAACTCCCATCACCCTTATTGCTCATTCTGGCTGAGGATGATGGGAGCTAGAGTCCAACAGCATCTGGAGGGCTACCAGTTCCCCAGACCTGGTTTCATTATTTAAGTCAGCTGTGAGAATCAAGAAGCAAAAGAGAGGATCAACAGGGTATCAGTGGTTAGAACCTCTAATCTCATTCACACAAGCAACAGATGAGATTGTAAAAACTGTTGATACAACTGTTTCACGCTTCAGACTGCAGGTAGGGGCTTGCATATGCAGGAACACACATGAAAAGTTCCTGAAATTTCTAACAGAACACAAGGTGAAATGTGAGTTAATAGCAGAATGCAGAGGCTAAAAAAAGGGCTAATGCACCAGCAAAAATATATGTATATTGTAATAATTTCTTCCACTCTGAAGAAATTCACCTCACCTGGAGTGCTGCATCTAGCTCTGGACGTTGCAGCATAGTGATAATCTGGAACAGAGAGCAATACAGCAACACAGAAAACCTGCCTTCTACCAAATCTTATCATTGGCAGCTCTCCAGGCTTTCAGATGGGGGCAATCCCAGACGTACTTGGAAATGCCAGAGGGTGAAAGGGGAACCTTCTGCATGCAAAGTGTATGCTCTGCCACTGAGCCATGGCATCTCCTCCCAAAGATGGTGAGGGGTCTGCAAACCATGTTCTGTGAGTTGGGCTTAAATCTGGAGGACAGGCATCTTCAAATATCTGGAGGGATGTCATATAGGTTATTGTATTTTAGTGTTTTATTGGAAGCCGCCCAGAGTGGCTGGGAAACCCAGCCAGATGGGCGGGGTATAAATAATAATAAATAATAATAATAATAATAATAATAATAATAATTTAAATGACGCAAAATTGTTCTGTGGAACAGACTCCCTAGGAAGGAAGTAAACTTGTCTTTAGAGGTTACTAAACAGAAAACAGCCACCTATCAAGAATGGTGTAGCAGTGGATTTACTGCATTGGCATGAAGGGGACTAGACTAGGTGACCTTTGAAATCCCTTCTAACTCAATACTTTCCTAATCCCTCTGTACTAATAAATAAAATCAGAATTTTGCATATATAAAACTAGATGTCAGGGGGAAGAGTTATAGCTGAACACTCTCACTGTTGTGCTAGCTTTCTATGTGTGGGGAAGCTTTCAGTATGAAAATACATTGAACCATGTAATCCTCACTTGTAGTCTGAAGGGGTACCAACAGTTTTAACCATCTCATCATTTGTATGAATGAAGTTTTTACTTGCATTCCAACTGGTGATTCAGCTTAGTTCTCCAGCTGTGACACAATATCCTCTTCCAGAAGGGCAATCCTAATCAACTTCCTGAGTTTGGGAAGGGAGACTAGGGAGAAAAAGAGGGAAGAGTTACACGTTTGAAAAATGTGGAAGTTACACCCTAGACTAGAACTTACCTCAAAAAACAGATTGGATTTTAAGTCTTCTCCTTGAGTGCTTATGATTGGGATCATACTATAGTATGATTTCTTACCTGTTTGTGATGTTCACCTTTCAGCTGAATGGGGCAGGAATCATCCTTTTAATATTGTTGCATGAGCACTTTTTAGATAAAATTTCCTGATGCATTGTTTTTAACTGTTTGTAAGCTTTGTGCATTTTATGGATGTGTAAGTTGCTTTGAGACATTTGTGAGTGGAAATGAAAACAATTATAGGCATCTTTAAATAAAACAAGGAGAAATTAAATGGTGGGTGTGCAATGTACCATCACAGCTACTGTACATATCAACTGGCTCTGAACCAGAAAAGCATTTTGCCAGCTAAAAGGTTTTATAGGAATTCTTAACAAATTAGTGACTAATTAATGACTTATATCCAAATCTCTGATCTTGTATTAATGCTTAAAAATGCCCAAGAACGTGAGAACAGCAAAGAGCTTTAAGTTGTCCCAGTTTAGACTCAGAACTCTAGATGCAGGTATTATAGTCCTACAACTTTCTGTGCAATCCATGAATGCAGTGCTTCTTGCAAAGAAAGCCAAGTAACTGTGTTTTCTTTTACTCCAAGTTTTGTTTCTGCATTTGCTACAGTAATAATTTCAAGCAACAAGATTAACTGGCAGCTTAAATATAAATGGTTTAAAAAAGTAACTCCCACAAGAAGTAGTGATGGCTACCAACCTCATGGCTTAGAGGGAATGCATAGAGGGAAAGGCAATAAATGGCATAGAGTGGGCATGTACAACACATCGATCGCGATCGACTGGTGGAACCTGAGACTGATTATGGTCGATCGCAGGTTGATCGCTGTGCTCCTGGGGGGACTTGAGGGAGATGCTGCCCTGCCGCCTCCGCGGGAGAGCTGGTGTGTGCATATGCTACCAGCTTGCTATCCTTCCTGCTGCACTGAGCACTGGTGGTGGGGTGGGATGGGATGCTGCCTGAGGAAGAGAAAGAGAGGGAGAGAAAGAGAGTGCCCTGGCTTGCTATCCTTCCCGCTGCGCTGAGTCCTGGCAGTGGAATGGGATGCTGCCTTAAGAAGGGAGGGAGGGAGGGAGGGAGGGAGGGGGAGAGGGAGAAAGCAGGGAAGGAAGAATCATGGAGCAACCCAGAAGGGAAAGAGTTCACACACACACACACACACACACGGGTTAGATCTGTGCAAACTAATATAAAAATATAGTTTGACTTTTCTCACTTGTTTAATTACTTCTCCATCTAGTAACTACAGTGGTGCCTCGCAAGACGAAATTAATTCGTTCCGCAAGTTTTGTCGTCTTGCGATTTTTTTCGTCTTGCGAAGCACGGTGTCGGAAAAGTTTTGGAAAAGCTTCAAAAATCACCAAAGTCTTCAAAAACATCAAAAAAAGGCTACCACACTGCGTGCTATGAGTTGCTCCTCGAAGTCAAGTCGCAACTGTATTAACGGTGTTAAGAAAAAGGAAACAAACTTGCAAGACGTTTCCGTCTTGCGAAGCAAGCCCATAGGGAAAATCGTCTTGTGAAGCAGCTCAAAAAACAAAAAACCCTTTCGTCTTGCGAGTTTTCCGTCTTGCAAGGCATTCGTCTTGCGAGGTACCACTGTATTTGAATCTGTCATAATGATATCCAAACATAACTACTGTATCTATGAAATAAAGATCTATCTATCTATCTATCTATCTATCTATCTATCTATCTATCTATCTATCTGGCTTTGGAGGGTGGTAGAGCACTGCTAGTTTTTGATACTTGTTGGTAGATCGGAGGCAACTTAAGCTTGGATGTGCCTGGCATAGAGGGAAAGGCAATAAATGGCTACCAGCACTGGACACCCCTCTCTTATTTCCCCAAATGCTATTGCCTGTGCTTACTTTTCAGATAGCAATCGAAACCAACTGCAGCTGCATGCATTTCCTTGTTGTTGTTTGGAACAAGCCATCTATAGAGTACTATATGAGGCGTGGTGCTTCAGACCTTTCCACTGAAGAAGGCTGGCATCTCTTTAGATTTGACAAAGAAAATCTAGTCAGAATGGCTTCTGGAGACTAAAAGAAGGAAGTCCGCCATTTTTTTTTATCATTCTCAAAGCTTGGAGTGCTCATCAGGCTTGCGATGAAAAACCTCACTTACAAGGGGAGACTTCTGGTTAACACAGTGGCTTCAAAGCAGAGTGCAAATAGCAAGAAAAATTAAAAGAAGCATGCGTGTTTTATGACTGACATGACTTTGATAAATTGCTTTACTTTTTCTTCACATGGATGTACAACACTTCAAATGCAGCCTGAATCTTACGGATCAGTTTAAGCAAAGGTATACTCAACTGGTGACTCATATGGAGAAAGAACACAGGTGGGACATAATGTACTGGCCTGGCCAGGAAACCTCTTGCTTTTCTTCAAATACAAAAATAGCTGGTGCCCTAGTGTATTAGAGCATGTACAAGCTTGTGCCCAGAAGGAAGAACAGGACTTTGTGGGAAAGAGCACCTGCCTTGCATGCAGAAAGTCCCAGACTCGATTCCTGGTGCCTCCAAGTCAGAGGATGCCAAGCTGGGAAAGGCTGCCTTAGACAAACCATTCTCTCTCAGCCTCAGTCCCCCGATTTCCAGTGTCTTGCCTGTTTATAAAGGTTACAACTAGAGAATGCATGATACACTTTAAAAAACTGTACCTATTTTAGGTATTACCATTAAAATCACAGGCTTTGCATACAGCCAGAGATTCAATCACCAGTTTTTCTGGGTAGGGCTGGGAAAACACACTTGTCTGAAACCTGGATAGCTTTTGCCAACCAGAGTACACAATCTGAACCAGAGAGACCATATTGTCTGACTCAGCTTCCTATGTTCCTGTGGTCTTGCACTTTTCCTACCCTTACCCAAAGCAGTATCATGACATTTGTGTCACATGGCTTGTTGCTATATCACCAATACTGGAGAACCAAGGCAACGTCCCAGTACCCACATAAAGCAGGGGGCGGCAGAAAGTAGATCAGTATCTACTAGTAGACCCCAGAGTGACTTTTCAGTAGATCAGCTAGAGTTTCAGCAACTATTTTAACTATAGCAATGACAAAATGACACCCCAAGTTAGGCTGTTGCATTGCAGAAAGCTAACCAGGAGTGGCATTGTGTGTGAAAGGATTGTGCGCTCACTTCAGTTTTAGTATGAAAAACAAATGTGTTGGCTCAGAATGTGCTCAGAAGCACCCTGTTGTTTAATCCTGTATGCCTTTTTTGGCTGGCTCTCTTTGGTAGATCTTTTTGGCTCAGGCACAACTTCATCCGATTTTGTATCAGGAATAGAGTAGATGGATGTGACTTGGCCAAAGTGGAATTGAGGTCAAATAAAAAACCTGACAGGACTAATCAGCCCCAGAGGCTGGAAGTGGAGAAATAGGAAGATACCTGCGTTCACAACTGCGAACATAGCCTCGGTATCATCTGCTGGGTTTATATGCAAATTCCCGCTTCGCCACTACACAAGGACTGTAGAAAGCAGATGAAAATTCATGTCCTGTATGAAGCTACCAAAACACCTCCACAGCAAGCAGTTTGGGAAATGCATTTTTAATTATATATATACCTATATATCCATAAACTATAATTATCAATATGTTTCCCCCTTTTTCTCAATGACAGCAAGTTGTTAAAGGCCAGCATATTAGCAAAGTGCTACAGTGTTGAGCAGCCACATCTCCTGGACTAAAGATAAGCCCAAGGAAAAGAAGTTTAAATATTTCTCTTTTCATTATCACTTCATTATCTGTGCAGGAGTGGCACAGAAATCTGTTTCTCCAAGTGATTTACATTAATAGCCAGCTTCACAATGACAATCTCATCTGAAACCCTTTGGCTGTCTCGTGATTTCCAAAAATTAAAAGAACACTTGTAGCAATAAGTAATAGGGGAAAAAATGATAAGTGGAAAGGAAGGGTGAGTGAACTGGCTGTGCAGTTAAAGATCAGGTTGAAGAATTACCTGATCAAATACCACCATATAGATCACAACGTTCCCCATTTTAATGTCCCATCATTATTGTAATCCAAAATTTTTGGGAGTTTGTGCTCTGTTAGCTTCTGGTACTGTACATATCCACATCTTCTGGGCTGGACTGGCCATGGTCCATGAGGCTGGGGTCTGGTTTAAACTTTGTTGCCTTCATCACATCTGTTAAGTATAAAAAAGGTGTTAGTGTGTGTATGTGTTTGGCACTGTCTTGTCACTTAAGATCTTCAGGACAGTTCCTGGTTATTCATACCTGATCTCACACTTGGTGGTTTCGCTTCAGCTATCAAAGGAACAGAATCTGTCTGTGGAAGTGTCTTCTCTGCATGAAATTGCATTTGTGATGATTTCACCTTTTCTTCTGATTCAAGGGCTATCTTCCGAGCTTCTGAGACAATATGGTCTGTTCCTGGAACTGCTCCAAGTACTTGCTGCTGTTGAAATAATGACTAAATTGTAAAATTAGCCTGATATTGCCAAATCTAAATTTAGGCAGAACACTCCTTGTAACATAGGAAGTTGCCTTATACTAGAGTCAAATCAATGATCCATCACCCAGTATTGCCTACACTAGCTTTCAGCAATCTGGTGCCCTCTGCTGCCCACTTCCCCAGCCCCAGCTCTGGTGCAAAGCATCTGGAAGACACCAGGCTGGCAAGTACTGCTCTACAAGGTTTCAGATAGGAGTCTTTTCCAGCCCTGGAGATGCCAGGGATTCAATTCTGGACCTTCTCAACGCAGAGACTGTGCTACAGTCTTTCCCCCATAGATTGGTGGCTTGTCTTTTGCTTAATATTGCTATGTAAAATGTCATGCACATGGATAGCAGTGCATAAATAAGAAAATAATAGCAAATTGGCTGAGGATCCTCCTTGGCTTACAAATGAATATGGCTGATAGTCATTGTGCCCATTAAAATACTTTCCATTGGTGTAATAGGGTCCATGTTTCATAACCCTGTCTTGTTTAACCATTATGTCTATGCTATAAATATTTCTAGTCACTACCTTCCATCCATTCACATGCCCATGGTTTATTTATTTTGGTTTTACTTCATGTCTTATTTTTGTTTGACAGTGATCCATAATTTTATATGGTCAATGTATAATTGCCACCAGATACTGTTTGATAACACTCTATATTTTGCAGAATTTTGTATAACTATTTTTAATTTAATAAAAAATATTTAAAAATACACACAAATAATAGCAAAAATATGTCTCTTAACATGTGCAGAGTATCTGTCAGTCTCCAAACCAGTCTACTATATATAGTATATAAAAATCTTTTGCACATTTGGAAGTTCAAAGGCTGAAAAATAATGATGCTGGATATCTGCAACACTATTGTTTTTATGCATGTGTTTCAAACACAATGTAGATCAAAGAAAGATAACTAGCCCATGCTGCTAAAGGATAGATTTTGGAAAAGAACCTACCTGAGTATCTTTATCCTGGGTGAGTAGAACTTCCGTAGTGGACTTTTTGGTCCATAGCGGTCCTATTGCTTCATAGGTTTTCTGGCTTGCAGCATAGGCCTTTCCACCTATTACCTAGTTTAATATTAGAAATGTTATTGTACTGAACAACCAGTTTTTAAAATATTGTAGCATAGGCAAGGCTAACAAGACTTCTCCAATGAACTGTGATGCAGCCAACAGTGAAAGAAAGAACAAACAAACAAACGCAATTATAGATAGTAATCTATTAGTGCTTTCAAACTTTAAAGAATTTTCCAGTTTAAAATGCTAAAGTGTGATGAACAAGTGGCAAAAATTTTAAACAATAAAAAGGAAAGCATTCATACACCATTTAGTAGAACTCACCTTTGCAATAATTACTGACTGAGCTGGATAGCAAACAGATATGCCCAATGTGCAGAGTCCAAAGGGATAGCAAATCTTCTTAAATCTAGATCCTGCAAAATCAATCAATCAACCATATAAGGCAGTGACCAGGAACCTGCAGCCCTGCAGATGCTATTGGATTACAGCTCTCATCAGTTCCAGCCAGCATGGCCAATGATGACAAGGTCCTATCCCAAAGATGACAGGTTGTGTAGCCCAGCAACATCTAGAGGGCCATGGGTTGCCCATCTCTGATTTAAGCAACATTAAGCAAAAACAATCATATTGAGAAGGCTAGGCTCCACACTGGCTTCCAATGTATAAGCAATGTTTTTATTTAGACAAGTATTCAGTCAAGTGAACTATCTTCAGCCTGTATCAACACTGCCCATCTCTTCTGTTCTTAATGGGAATGAGGCTGCAAAAGCACCTGAATCTGGATACAGTTACAGACTACTAGGCATAAGGCTGTACTATGTGTTCCATTGCATGCATCCTCATGATTCTACTTGGATGTATTAAACTTAAAGTGGGGTAGGTGTGTATAGGACAGCAAGCTTTGTAACCATCTGCATTAGGATCCACATTCCAATGTGGCAAGGAAGCAACACACACACACACACACACACACACACACACACACAGCTCCATTCACCAACCCCACCTCATCAACTGGCTTCCCCCAACATAAGACTAACCCTCCCTCCCTTTGTATCTTACCCACCTGCTCCCTCTCCTTGCTCACCAGTTGCTAAACTGTTTTGTAAAGCACTCTCCTTCCTCTATTGAACCTGACTGCAAAAATGTTTAACCAGGGGTGGGGAGGCCACAGGGCAGCTTGCTAACCCAGTATAAGACATAGGTGAAGGGCCTCCCTACCCCTCTGTTAAACCTTGCTACAAACACATTTAATGGAGGGGGATAGACATTTTGTGCCTCTCCCCATTCATTAAACAGCTTGCCTGGGCTGGCTCCTGTTCTGTTGATAGCATTCTTGTTGAGATACAACAGGTGCCCCACTATCTGCACTTTCTGCAAACAACTGGAGACTATTTTTTGTTTTAGGATGTTTTCCCAGTTGGATCAATGGGTCTTTGCCATAAGTGTGTATTTTGTACTCTCTTAGTTTTGTTTTAAATGTAATGGGGGAGGTTATGTGTATGAGTTATAAACTGTTTTTTTTCTGTTTTTAATGTGAATTGTTTTGACATGTTTGTACAGAAGGTGATTAATAAATTAATACTAATAATAATAACAGTAACTTATAAGCATGTAATCCCTTACCTTTTCTTGCAAGGACTAGCCCAGTCAGTCCTGAAACTGTAATCACACCAACTTTAGGAAGGAATTCTGGAGGTGGATTCTTCAGGTAAACATAGGCATCTTAAAAAAAAAAAAGCAAGATTTGCTAAGCCTGAATATTATTTTCTAAGAATTAATAAAATAATAATTTATTTGTAATTGGATGTAGAAATGATTACTTCATACAAATTCAGACTTTGTTAACTGTGCTGTATTTACAGTGGGGCAAAATATTTATAAGAAAATATAAAATATTTATACGAAAATCTGGAATGTCGCCTCATTTTAAGAAGGTTTGTAATTTGCATGGCCAAGAACAAAGAAATGAAAGATTTAAGCTTTGCACATACTCACTCACCTTTTCCAAACTGTACAGATGATATTATCCCATTTTTGACAAAGAGATAAGCATCCTGCACAAACAAAGTAAAATATAATTTTCCCCATCTGATATTTATGCAACTGTCTTAAAAACTCCTAATATTTATCAAATAATCACATTGACAAACAGTTCGGGTCAAAACACTGGAAATTTTCCCACTTTGTAATTCAGCTCTTTGAATTTAGTATAACTGATCAGCAAGTGGAACATGGAGGAGGTGGAAAAGAGGCAGATTTAAGTGCAATGTTCCTGAATCACTTAACAATGGGGTGGAGACCTGTGTCCATCTAGAATGCTCAGTGCTCAAGGATGATGGGAGCTGTAGTCCAGCAACATCAGCAATAACAACATCACGTCTTAGGCAGGGCAAGAGAAAAGCAAGTGTTGGATTGAGCCCATGACTTTCCCCAACAATCTAATAGCTGGTAATGACAAATTTGTCACAGCTATCACTTCTTTGGTGGTGGGGCAGGAGGAGACTCCTACTGTGCTGCTGCTTCTGTGGATTTGGAACCAGTATATATGATGCAAGTAGGGGGCAAATAGTGCCATATTTTATTAATGCCCTGTACCCAATGCTGCAAAATATTACTGTAGCAAGGGTTGCAAACTTTTTTGGATCCGTGGCCACATTTGTTAGTCTGATAAACTATCAATGACACACACCCCACAACCAAATACCCCCACAACCTTTTCTATTGGCTACAAAATAATACTTCAAGGCTGATTTCAGCAAGCAGAGGAGCAGGGAACCTCATGGGTTCCGGGGAAGGCCATTGTGGGTGCCACATGGTGACTCTGCTATAGCATGTGCAGTGTACAATATATTCAATATGAAACTTTTGATCTCTTTACATAGGAAAGTTATTCAGCTAGAGAAAAACAAAAGGCAGCTTTATTAATTTACACTGTGGTACACATTGCATTACCAACAGCAACTCATTCAATGTCAGAGGGAGCAAGGCTGTGTAAAAATCACTCCCCCTCCCACATATACTCCAAACTGAATAATGGCTGGGATCCAAGAAGATACTTTAATTAGGTATGCCCAAGGCCTTATATGTGTGTGGAATTTTGAACATGTCCCCTCTGAAGAGCAGCCCCCCACACCAGGTGCTTATGAAACTTCTGTTTTGGAAGAAGTCTGCCATACCTTTTTTTGGGGAGGGGGTTTGCTTTTTGTGAATCATATATCCAAACACACTTGGGCATGCAAAACTAGTCACATGGTGCTTTGGATCCAGGCCACAAATAATAAACAAACTTAGCCTTTCTGAACCATCTGCTGTTAAGATTAACATCCTATTATTTTATTGTGCATTAATTTCCCCATGTTGTCAGCTGTCTCAGTTGCCTGTTATCAGACAAACAGATGGGATATAAATACAAATAAAATAAAATAAAATAAAATACAAACACACACACCCCTTGCCTTCCATCATAACTACTGATAGACAAACATAACAGGAAATTGTTATTTCATTGCATTAATCCACTGGCATAGCACAAGCTACATTTATAAGGTGTTTGAGGTTTTCTGATTTAGCCTTTTTGATACATCCTATTTTCTAGCACCACCAGAAGATGTAAACATTCTTATGCATCAGCACCAATTTTTAGGTGGACATCTTATGTATTATATTTCTTTATTTAGGACAAGCTGCCTTCTACTTGGTGCTCAGGAATTCCAAGAAACCATAAAATCTTTTTAAAAGGTTCAGTCCACAATCTTGATTTAAAATGGCATTCAACTGTATCCAAACATAAACGAAAAACTGCTCCTTGATCTTAGGAACTAGCACACAAAACTTAGGTAAGATATCTTAAGAGGTATCCAAATGCATAGTGCAACTTTCTAAAATATGTAGTAGATCCTAACTCTGCACTCCTATAGTCTCTGGGGGGACATCTTAGGGGCCAAAGTTTCATCAGACTGAAAACAGAGAGAGGTCTGCTCTCAGGAAGGAAGATCCGTAGTCGGAAGCCTTTTGCCTGTGGTGCAGAAAGGTCTGCAGCTGATTCCTCTCCAACCTCAGAGAGGCCAAAGAGGAAGCATTCTGATGGCATGTTGGGAATGTGTCAAGAAGGAGAAATTACATTTACTGCCCTCTCATTGATTTCAACAAGAGGCAAAATGTTTTGGAAAACTCCTCCCCAATGCTCTACCTTCATCTTCCGTTCAGTTTTCCCTCCCCTACCATCTGTTATTTATTTCAGCTGAAATAACATATTGCAGGAACGAATAAGGAATAGAGTTTGGGACATCACAGTGGGAAAGATATTGTGTGTTTCACAATGATACATTTCAGTTTATTTTGCACTGGTGTTTTGTGAACAAAACTTGGCACTGAAAATTTATTTTGAATTTACACCACAAGAGGTCACTACACTCCAAGCTTTGAAACACAACAAAAATAAAGAAAAATTACTGACTGGAGGGCATAAAAAGGTTGGTCCAGATAACACAAAGCAAACCTAAAGCAGGAACATCATTCTTACTCCTAACCTTTCTTCTACCAAAAGGACAACTTCCTAGGCAGAAGGTTTTTTAAGAGTGTTTGAATATGTTACTTCTCTTCTTAAGGGTTTGACTAAGAACTCTGAACTCAAAATGCACTGGAAATCCTGAACTGAACTAATTCTTAGAAATCTTATTCCATGCTGACTCCAATTTATCCAATTGCTCACTTATGGCAAGACATGTATGAGAATTCTTGATCTATTAAATTAAGTAATATTCTTACCTTGCACCCATTGACATAGTAACTTGTTGTGTTTCTTACTGATGAAATCCTACTTTGCAAGCGGCCAGGCTTTTCATCAATGTATCTTGAATTAAGAGGTGGTGCATTATAAATAGGAAGCTGGAAGGAAATGGGGGATAGGAGTTATAACAAAGCTTGTCTTGGGAAAACCATGAAAAGGGAGGGGCAATCCACATACTTGGAATGGGATTATTTTATCCATGGCCTCAATCCAGCAAAATTTGCCTGTGTAGTACAAGACTTGCATGAATAGAAGAGTTGTTCTACATCCATAACTACTTTGGATACTAACATCTACTGGATAAAAGGGTAGATCCAAAGACTTCTGTGTGTAAGTAGGCATGTATGGTCATTAAGTGCCAGTAAGTTGACCCCGACATTTTGCCATGGATATGGATGATCAGGGAAATGACACACACACAGGGATCTGAGCTTAAGTCATCTAATGCAGTGGATTCTACTTTCAGAGAATTCCTTCCATTTCAACATGGCTGTTGAGGTCCCCAGCACATCTAGGAACATAGAAAGTGGTCCATCTAGCTCAGTATTGTCTACATTGACTGGAAATGGCCTTTCAGAGTTTCAGATAGGGTCTCTCCCAGCCCTACTTGGAAATGATGGGGACTGAACCTGGGACCTTTTGCACAGAAAGTAGATACTCTGTCACTGAGCTATAACCATCTCTACCACATAATACCTGTACGCAGCACAGGGTTCAGGGTTGTGTTCTGGGGTACTATGATCAGCTGAGCTAGCACCTAACTTGAATGAACCAAGAGTTGTCTTTCAAATGCATCCAAAACCCCACTGCATCTGCAGGAGAAATTGGTAGTGGCAGACAAGCAGTTTTTCAGTGAAGCTTGCCAGCCATTACCAACTTTCTCATTGACGAACCTAAAGATCCCTCAGAACACAGTTTGAGAACCACTGGTCTACTGCAGGTGTAGCCAGTGTGGCGCGCCCCCCCCCAATATTGTCAGATGCCAACTCCCATCAGCCCCAGCCAGCATGGCCAGTGGCTGTGAAGCAAGTTTTAGTCCAACAATACCTGGAAGGCACCATATTGGATACCCTTGGCCTAGTGCTATCTCCATCACCCTTAAGCAGTGCAAATGGTGGTGCAGATTACCACCAGCTTCATGGTGCAGATGGGAAGGCTCACTCTTGTATGAACACTTCCGAGTCGCACAGAACACCTTGTCCAATGTGACTGCTGTGCTTTGGACCATATGTCAGCAGCAGTTGTCCTAAGTTTTAAGCCTCCAAGTGGGGTGGAAATCAAGAACATAATCTTCTTTAGACCTACACAAAGAATATGTAGAGTAGGGAGCTGGAGCACAGTAGCAGGCCCTCATGCTGGTCTCTATGCACTGTGTACCTAACGTACAGAGTGCAGGAGACGTTAGAGTGTATATATGTAGGCTCTGTACACAAGATATGATGAATGTGTTGAGGTCAAGAGATGGTAGTGAAGCTTGTTGCTGCAGTACACTGCCCTCTTCTTAAGTTCATCGTACCTAGATTGATAACAATCAAGCATAAAGCAAAGATGAAAGCAAACCAAATCCCCCCCCCAAAAACCCCTATGCATTAATACAAAAGCCACAGTAAATTTAAGTACAAATGTGATTCAGTCTTCCAAGTGGGACTTGCAACAAAATGTTGCACTGTGGAGTGCTGCTGTTCAATATTCCAGCTGCTGCACTGCATAGCCTTTGCCCCTGGTGTTCCATACCCTCCCTATCACTTAGCATTCTGTAGACACCGAGCACACACTCAGTCCTTATTGGGCTCTCCCTCTCCCAGGGTGTTTTAAAATGCAAACCTTTGGGCTCTCCAAAACTTGAGGGTATCCCCTTCTTGTGTGAGCGGTACTACCTTGGCTACATAAGAAATAGTTCTCAACAAATGAACATTGAAACTATAGAAGGAATGCTTCTCTTCAGCTTTAAATTATATTGTGTATTATATCACATATTTGCATTAGCTTATCTTTTCAGTCCTCCATTTTTGGATCATCTGCAATGGTAAGTGATGCAGCATCAAGAATCATCATCATCACAACATTATTATTATAATTTTACTATATCACTTGTTGCATTCTATTATATAGTTCTGTTTCCTGTGAAACAAAATTCAGAAGAAAGCCTTCACTGCACCTAGGTGTTTCTGCTCATTCAATTTTTAAAGAGGTCATACTAATCCTACCTGATGTGCCTTCATGCGACGAGATTCTGGTTCCTCTTCAGATGCAGCATGTACAATAGATGCACCTGCCAAGGCTGTAGGAAAAGCCACCCATTTTGCTATCTGGGGGCGGGGGAGGGGTAGAGGCCAAAAGAAAGCAAGAAAGAAGCTTAATCGCTGAATAGCAAATAAATGAATGAATGAATAAATGCACATGTTCATCAATATTCAGACCAAGTTCAACAACAATATCCATTAACCAGCTAAGTCTGCTAAAGAGTATAAGCGCAATAAATTATTGTTTTTCATACATCTGATATAGGAAAATACAGAATTGAAAAAAAATGTATACAAAAGCATTTTAAGAAACATGAACATTCTCACTGCAAGGGGGGGTGGTAGGTGTAGAAAAGGTTTCCAAATTGCAAATGTTCAGGTTGTTCAAACTAATCATTTTTGGGTACCAAGGAAGTTGCTTACTATAATTTATTGAACTGTTTCCTTAAAATACGCTTTTCAGGAATATTACTTGTATGTGGTCCTAAGCTTCTTGGTGCAGGGACTCACATTTTAAAAAATATTTGTCACTGTGAAGCACCATGTGTACACTGAAGATGCATTATGCATGGTCTGCTGCAATAAAGTGCTGGTAAAATGCAGGATCACTGTAGAAATCCTTAGAATTAAAAAATACCTAAAATATCTCCCAAGATGAAGGAAGGGACACATCTCAGTGGGAGACCATCTGTCTTGTATGCAGATGGTCACAGGTTCAATCCCTGATGTCTTAAAGGCAGGGCTGAGAAAGAAAGCCTAGAGAACCACTGCAATCAGTGTAGACAATGCTGAACTAGATGGACCCCCAAGGCCTCACTCAATATCAGACAGCTTCCTATGTTCATATTTTAACAACATTTAGTGGGAGCAAAACTGCCTTAAAGGTATAGGCATGAATGAGGACGCTACACAGAAGTCTGCTCTCTAATGCTCAAATGGCGTTTACAGAATATAGCAAGAACGTTTTAAAATATATATTCATTAAAAAGGTCAAAGTTTTGAGACCTCAAGAAGACAAAAAAACATGGAAAAGAGTGGAAGAGCATTGCTCAATTAGACCAACAATTCTGTGAAGCCTGATCACAGAAATGTAGAGTTGGAAGGGACCACAAGGATCATCTAGCCTAGTCCATGGATAGGCAAACTAAGGCATGGGGGCCAGATCCGGCCCAATCATCTTCTAAATCTGGCCTATGGACGGTCCGGGAATCAGTAGACGGTCCGGGAATGAGTAGAATGTGTCCTTTTATTTAAAATGCATCTCTGGGTTATTTGTGGGGCCTGCCTGGTGTTTTTACATGAGTATAATGTGTCCTTTTATTTAAAATGCATCTCTGGGTTATTTGTGGGGCCTGCCTGGTGTTTTTACATGAGTATAATGTGTGCTTTTATTTAAAATGCATCTATGGGTTATTTGTGGGGCATAGGAATTCGTTCATTTTTTCCCTTCAAATATAGTCCGCCCCCCCACAAGGTCTGAGGAACAGTGGACTGCTGAAAAAGTTTGCTGACCCCTGATTTAGTCCAACCCCCTGCAATGCAGGAATATTTTGCCCAGTGTGGGGCCTGAACCCATGACCCTGCGATTAAGAGTCTTATGCTCTACCAACTGCTTCCAGAGACTTAAGCACCTGGGCAAGAAAACAGGAACTTTCATCCAGTGTTGCTCTGCAATAGTACTTAAAGGGACCCCTGACCATTAGGTCCAGTCGTGGCCAACTCTGGGGTTGCAACACTCATCTCGCTTTTCTGGCTGAGGGAGCCGGCGTACAGCTTCCGGGTCATGTGGCCAGCATGACTAAGCCACTTCTGGTGAACTAGAGCAACGCACATAAACACCATTTACCTTCCCGCCAGAGCGGTACCTATTTATCTACATGCACTTTGATGTGCTTTCGAATTGCTAGGTTGGCAGAAGGAGGAACCGAGCAACGGGAGCTCACCCGCTCACGGGGATTCGAGCCGCTGACCTTCTGATCGGCAAGTCCTAGGCTCTGTGGTTTAACCACAGCACCACCCATGTCCCTCTAATAGTACTTACTGCTACTCAATATATACTGAATGGAAATGATAGCCTATGAAATTGTCATTGGAAAGCCTTCTAAGACAACAGCCACCACATTTTATTGTGGCAGTGAATTCTACAAATTAATATGCGCACACACCATACATTTAATGCACATGGCTTAACACAAAGAATCCTGGGAACTGTAGTTTACTTCTCAGAGCTGCAATTACTAGCACACTTAATAAACTAGTCTCTAGGATTCTTTCAGGGAAGTTATGTACTTTAAATGGATAGTATGTATGCAGCTTGGGCAGGGGTACCTTTACCTTTATGTATGCAGCTTGTGTCAGTTACCTTCTCTCTGCAATATGCTATCCATTCCCTATTATGTTGCATCTCTGGAAACTACTTGTTCCAAGTGCTGCATCTCCTCTTCCCCTCTAATAATCAATTTCATTCCTACCAGGAAATGTCTTATGCTCTCACCTCTTAAGGATAAAATGCCAGTGGAGGTGAATTAGCACAACAAACCATTTTTACTGCATTTTTTATCATGAGTTAATGCTTGATAAGCCCCATAGTCACGTTACAATTTAAGGAAGCTGTACTGGATTTTAATGAAGGTTTTATTACTGTGTTGTATTTATTAATTCCCACACTAGCCCATTTTAGACATAATCACAAACCACTGCTAATGACTTACCAATAATGTTGATATCACATGCACTTTCATTTTTTCCGTGTGTGATCAACAAGCCAAAATCTCTGACTTAGTCTTATGCATGAACTGAGAATTGTGGTTTGTTTCACTCAAACCATAATTGGCAAGGCAGCAACCAATACCTGGCTTCACGATGAAATTTGTTTGTCAAACCATTAACCATAGTTTACAGTGATATGCAAATACAGCCATTGAGGAATGGAGCCAATAGTTGAATCTAAGGACACCAAGTTTAACTAATTTGTGGATTAAAGTCTCCTCCCAACAGATTGCATTTCTGGTTATCTTTTCCACATATCAACATTATTATTTATTTGATTTCTCCATGTTGAGGCCCAGGTGGGCTACAACAATTTAAAAATAAAATATTAAAAAGGATTGAAACATGAGATGATAAGAGTTGTAGTCTGGCAACATCTGGAGGGACAAATGCTCCTCATTTGGGATGTAAAGTATCAAGCTAGCTACAGCAGAAAAAGAAACAGACAATGAAGCAAACTGACCGTATTGCAGGAATAGACAGAGGGGCGGACAAATGAAGCACAGGGGGGAAAGAAAAATGCAAAAATTAGATATTTGATGGAAAAGCACAAAAGAAAATGGCATTCTGAAATTATACCAGGACTGTCAACTGTGTGATTTCTTTTTTTTTTAAGCATGCAGAAAAGGGGGGAGTATTGCCCATCCCCTAAGAGCAATTAACTCTCACACTTTGAAGTCACTGAACATTAATGAGCAGGAGCATAGAAAGAGTATTAGGAAGAATACAGCAGAATAAAATGATTAACTCAGGAGAAGGCGCATGTGTGATAAATGTGGTAAACGTTCAGAATCTGACTTATAAAGTGATAAAATGCTCTCAGCCAAATTTTATCTAGTCATTTAAATATCAAGTGTGATAAAAATGTATCCTTGTATCCAGAATTGGCCTGCAAGATAGGAGATTTCTCTGCTCTTTTGATGTTAAGGTGCATAAGAGTGGCTGCAACTCGAATATGTAATTTATAGCTAGAGGAAATAAGTTCACATTTTATGTTTCTTGGGAGAGCCGAATAATGAAGTAAGTACTTAAGGGATGAAGGACAGAGAGCATGTGAAAGTACTCTCTGCCCAGATACCCACTCTGCAACTTAACTTGTATCTTCCAAAGCCACAAGTATGAAAGAGTTGTGGCAGGATAAAGGCCACATCTGCATCATACGTTTAAAACACTATGATGCCACTTGAACAGCCATGGCTTCCCCCAAATAATTAATAATAATAATAATAATAATAATAATTTTTATTTATACCCCACCCTCCCCAGCCAAGGCTGGGCTCAGAGCGGCTTACAAGCAATAATAAAAACAAGTTAAATGACTACAACTTAAAAACAAAATTAAAAAATACAACATTAAAATACTGAAACATTAAAATATTAAAATGTAGCCTCATCGCAGGAGAAGGAAAAGAAAAAAGAAAGAAAGAGAGGGAGGGAGGGAGGGAATCAAATTGGCTCGAAGCCAAAGGCCAGGTGGAACAACTCTGTCTTACAGGCCCTGCGGAAAGAAATCAGATCCTGCAGGGCCCTGGTCTCGTGAGGCAGAGCGTTCCACCAGACCGGAACCAGAGTTGAAAAGGCCCTGGCTCTGGTTGAAGCCAATCTAACTTCCTTAGGGCCCGGGACCACTAGGGTGTTGCTATTTATGGACCTTGAGGCTCTCCGCGGGGCATACCGGGAGAGGCGGTCCCATAGGTACGAGGGTCCTAGGCCGTGAAGGGCTTTAAAGGTCAAAAGCAGCAACTTAAATCTGATTCTGTACTCCACCGGGAGCCAGTGCAGCTTGAAAAGCACTGGGTGAATATGCTCCCATGGCAGGGACCCCGTGAGGAGTCTCGCTGCAGCATTCTGCACCCGCTGGAGTTTCTGGGAGAACTTCAAGGGCAGCCCCGCATAGAGCGAATTACAGTAGTCAAGCCTGGAGATGACCGTCGCATGGATCACTGTGGCCAGGTCGGGGCGGGAAAGGTAAGGGACCAACTGCTTGATGCGGCGAAGGTGGAAAAATGTCGCCTTGGCTGTTGCTGTAACTTGCGCCTCCATGGAAAGGGAGGCGTCAAGGATTACACCCAAACTCTTAACGGAAGGCAATGGCACCAATTGGGCCCCCGCAAGAGAAGGGAGTTGGTCCCTCATCCCCATGCCATCCCGACCCAGCCATAGGACCTGTCTTCGAAGGATTTAGTTTCAATCGGCTCCCACGAAACCATCCAGCCATAGCTTCCAAGCATCTGGTCAGTGTGTTCAGGGCCGAGTCGGTGTGGCCATCCATCAGCAGATAGAGCTGAGTGTCATCAGCATATTGGTGACAGCCCAGCCCAAAGCTCCGGATAATCTGGGCAAGGGGGCGCATAAAGATGTTAAAAAGCATTGGGGAGAGGATTGCGCCCTGCGGCACTCCACACACCAAGGAGTGGCGCGACGACATTTCCCTCCCTAGTGCCACCCTCTGTCCCCGACCAGAGATAAAAGAGCACAGCCCTGTATCCCCACGTCTGCGAGGCAGTGGTCCAGAAGATCATGATCAACCATGTCAAAGGCTGCTGACAAATCTAAAAGGATCACCAGTCCTGACCTGCCTCGATCCAGCTGTCTATGGAGATCGTCTGTTAGGGCAACCAGAGCCGTCTCGGTCCCAAAACCAGGACGGAAACCGGACTGAAATGGATCTAAAGCCGATGTTTCCTCCAGAAACCTATCAAGCTGTTCAGCAACCGCTCTCTCAATTACCTTACCCAGATATGGAAGATTTGAAACTGGGCGGTAATTGGATAGGTCTAAGGGATCTAATGAAGTTTTCTTTAAGAGTGGACATACCACTGCTTCCTTCAGTTCCCCTGGGAATGTCCCCATGTCAAGGGACAAATTGATAATTTCAACCAGGGGGGTCCGCGCAACATCTGGACACTCCCTAATCAGCCAAGACGGGCACGGATCAAGGAGGCAGGTGGTGGGCCTACTAACTTGGAGGAATCTATTCACATCAGTAGGGAGTATCCGATCAAAATGGTCCAACACTGGACCTGAAGTCAGTCGAGGGGCCTCCAGTTCAGTCACTGTATCTAAATTGGCAAGGAGGTCACGGCGGAGCAACAGGACTTTTTCCGCAAAAAAGCTCGTGAATGGCTCACAGCTGTGGGTCAAATTTATGCTTAAATTTGGTTGTCCTCCTAAGGACGTTATTGATCTAATTATTCTAAAAAGTTATGCCGGGCGAGAGCTAGCGGATGCAATGGAAGCTGCAAAGTAAGATTTCTTAGCAGCTTTCATAGCCATCTCATAGGCTTTCATAAGCGTCCTATAAGATGTTCTTGAGGCTCTGTCACGAGTCCGTCGCCATACTCGCTCTAGTCGTCTGAGATCCCGCTTCATTTTCCGGAGCTCCTCAGTAAACCAAGGGGCCCGGTTTCGACGGGGTTGCAGAGGGCGCTTAGGGGCGATCTCATCAATGGCTGCCAAGAGCCGGTTATTCCAGTCCTCAACAAGGTCATCTAATGAGTCTAAAGAATTGCAGGAACTGTAGTTTGCTATGGGTGCTGAGAATCATTAGGAAACCCCTATTCTCCTCACAGGGTGACAATGCCCAGAGCAGTTTAAAATCAATCCCTCTTCCCAGGGAACTCTGGAAACTGAAGCTCTGGGAGAGGAATAGATGTTTCACACACTGCCATTTCCTCAGGTGGCTGTAGAATAAAAAATAGTTATGCTCTTGTGCACTGTTGTGTCAAAATTGCTCAAATGTCTGTTTTGTCACATGACAAACATGTTTGGAAACAGCAGCACTCAGTGGGCAGACTGTGTGGGAGTGTTTTGTTTTGTTTTTAAATTCAAACTGTTAAACAAAGCTGTATGTATTATAACACACATTCCACTCTACTTAAAGGGCTAGGAACTGTGCTGTGACTTTTGGAATTAGCTCAATTCTTGAATGACACTAATTGCTCTGCTTTGGAAGGTCTACTGAAGTCAACTGTGCAACGACTAACAAAATGATACTGTACATCACTTCACTGCCCAGTAATTATTTTGAATCAGTTTATTGAAAAGAAAGATTTATTCAGAAAAGAACTATTAAAATGGCAAGGCTCAGCCAGATCCTGCCTCAGGGGATGACTTTGTTTTAGCTGCATTTCGGAGGGCTCAAACTGGAGCAACATTTAACTACAGGGTGGCTAGCCTTTTTTTCTCTTCTTTTTTTTTCTTGAGGAGCTCATTGAAGTTTTGTCAACCCTCTGAGGGCAGCATGCCATCTATGGGCTTGGCCTAAATGGCCAATGCACATACCACATACAGTGGTACCTCGGGTTAAGAACTTAATTCGTTCTGGACGTCCGTTCTTAACCTGAAACTGTTCTTAACCTGAAGCACCACTTTAGCTAATGGGGTGTCCCGCTGCCGCTGTGTGATTTTTGTTCTCATCCTGAAGCAAAGGTCTTAATCTGAGGTACTATTTCTGGGTTAGCAGAGTCTGTAACCTGAAGTGTCTGTAACCCGAGGTACCACTGTATAGTGGTACCTTGGGTTACATACGCTTCAGGTTACATATGCTTCAGGTTACATACGCTTCAGGTTACAGACTCTGTTAACCCAGAAATAATGCTTCAGGTTAAGAACTTTGCTTAAGGATGAGAACAGAAATTGTGCTTTGGCGGCATGGTGACAGCAGGAGGCCCCGAGGTACCACTGTATACACAAAGGGAGGCTCACACATTCATTCACTCACACAGGCAGATAGCATTGCCCCACACAGCTCTTCCGCTGATTAGCAGTGGAGCAGGAGAGCTTTGCTTCCATCGCTGGGCTGTGAGGAGAGGACCCAAGAAGTGTGCTGGGGATTGAAAACCCTCACTTATCTTGCAAAGAGAGCCTCTTCTCCCCCTGGGGTGGTACCATTAAAATAATGTTTCAGGGCTCGGGAAACAGGAAGAAGTGAACCTTCCTGTTTCCTGAACACTATGACCTTCATGCCCCACACTATTTTTATTTCAGAGCTTTCCCAACTTTTCATGTTAGTGACACATTTTTTAGACATGCATCATTTTGAAACACAGTAATTCAGTTTTACTAGCAAACTGGAGGTTAAACTAACCCTTTTCCAGCCCCGGCAGGAGAGCGAGCTGCATTCGCATGACACACCTACACACTGCAGCTGATACATGAACATGTCACGACACACAGTTTGGAAAGCTCTTATTTGCTTAACAAAATTTTCATACCACTTAACTGTAAGCAAAACCTTTACAAATAATATAAAATATACATTAAAATTGTCAATAAAAATAATTGTTTAAAGGTTTATAAAAATGCAAAATAAGTAAGAGCAAGTTTGACTAAACAAAAGTTTTTTTGTAGGCACCAAAAAGTGTTTAATGAAAGTGCCTGCCTGCTGTCAACGGGCAGGGAGCTCCAGAATGTGAGGAGCTGCCACTCAAAGATCGGTTCCTTACAAGTGCATTATGTGGCGCTCGAAAGACAAGAGGTGCCTTTGCAAGGTATGCTGAACCAGAGGGACACATTTTTTGGAAAGCTGGCAGCCCTTCCAGTCCCACAGAGGAAACTCCACAGCACTACAGTGGGAATTACATTAAGATTATTATTTTTCATCTTAAATTGCCAAATCGCTGGGGATCTTGGAGGACATACCCATTTACCCATCCTTTTGGGGAGGAATAGATCCAGTCTGCATGCTGCAACTTAGCCACTCTTGCTATATGCTAATAGCAAACTCATTCTTTGATTGTGGATCCCATATAGCAAAAAATGACACCATCCAAACACAAGAGGGCTTATAGAAGTACAAACAACTTTTAGGTTGTTTGTACTTTTAGGTTTGGGTGTAATCTTAAGATGTTTTAAGGTGCATACAATATTATAAATGTGATGAAAACATTTAACTTTTAGCATGATCCCCAATAATTTAAGACCTGGATTTGAAGCTTTTTTCTCTATTTGAAAAGTCTGATCACAGATCATCACTCAATTTCGAGATTTGTATGTTATTCAGCAGTTATTCAGAAGAACAAGATGGAGATGGAACCACACATGTTCAGATACTTTCCTCATCTTAACTAGTCTTTAATGTCCAGCAGTTCTAAGAGTTGCTACACATTTTCCCACTAGGGAGTAGAAGGAAAGCGACAGAACAGAGTGGACACAGGAGGCAGCACT